CTTGCTGCTAGCGGTACCACTGCCCCTGGTCTGAGACCAGAGACTTGGAGAGTATGAGCAGGATGCATCAGGCACTTGTATGTAGATACTTGATTTTAGAGTCCTTGTGTGCCTTGTAGCAAGTCACACACACGCCTAGGACAGCCTTAAACCTTCCCCTTTGATAGGGTTCATTTCTGGGTTTGGAAAGACCATATTGAATCCTGAGTGAAGGGCCAGCAGTATTGTAACTAAATGCAGTAGATTTTGATCTGTTTTGCTTTGCTTTGGGGGCACTTGTGGAATGGGGCCTGAATCACTTCTATACTCGTTTGCCTTTACTCCAGATATTTTCATAATAAATATTTGTTGTTTCTTTTTATTGAAGATAGAGAATCTTATTGAAAATAAGCGCAAAATTAAATAAGAATCTCACAACTCATTTTAGTTGATTCTATCATAAAGTTCACAAGTTTTCTTGTAAAGCAATTGAAAATAACCGACTTTTCAGCAGTGCTATGCATAAAGATGTTAGCCACGAACACCCAATGTCTTGCATTTTGAACTGTTTGTCTAAGAGTTATGCACAGTGAAAGATTTGCCTGGCAGCATGCTCTGTGCTCCAAATATTATCTTCTTCTCAGCTTGCATTTCTTTGTGATATAAACTGCTTCATGTCCACAGCTCACTGAATAAAAAAACAAAAACCAAAAACAATTTATAAATATAATAGGAATACAACATGCATTTAATAGGAATTATAGGGTGTCTCTAATTTATGAATTTATGTTTAAAGGTATATTTATAAGCTGATTGATTAAAACCCAACCCATTTTTTCATTGGATGTATACTGTAAAGAATTGGTTGAAAAAGCCTGCATGAGCCATAAGAAGGTGCTACAAAGAATTTCAGTACTCAAAGTACCCGGCTGGGTCTAAAGACTTCCTTCTGGGATAAGGCAGTATCCAACACTTCCCCCCAAATGTATGAATTAGGCTATGAGAGAGGAAAAGTGTTGAAAAATAAAAATGTCAGTGTGAGCTTATTAATCTTTTATTTGTAACTGGTGACATTTCAGGAGTTTAGCAAAATGAAGTGAACATTTCTAGTGAGGTGGTCATCGTTTAAGATAGACAGTCCCTGTTTGTCAGCAGGAACTTTTGTATTTGAGGGGATTTCCAGAAAATAATTTGGGAGCGATGACTGGCAAAGCATCCAGAGTCCGTGTGAGATGGGGAGAGCCCTTGGCTTTGCGGTCCATTGGCACATCCTTTTGGGTGACTCCCAGGGGTGCAGCGATATCAGCGGGACGTCATCGTCAATGTGGGTGGCAGAGGGCCCACTGCGTGGGGGTGAGGGGGTTGCATTTAGTGATATCACTCCTCTTCTTTTTTGTGAGTTAGTTTAATGTACTCTTCAGGGATAAATGAAGTAAACTGCTTATGAAAATATGAACAACCTCCTTAGGACATTGCATTGTCTTCTTGTCTTCTATCTCCAATTAATCCAGAATTCCTTGACGAGTGACTATTTTGAGAGGAAAAGGGTGCATGGCATCTTACAGGGACCTGGGTAGAATGGAAGATTTCCAGAACATGATCATGGAGCACCGGCTCAGCTCACACAGTCAGCCTCTTGTGGGGAGGTTTAAAGGGCCCTCCACTCGAGCAGTCAGTATTGAACACTTACTGTTCATTGGACACACACAAGAAATGTATTTGTCCACGTGGTGCAGGAGAATAAAAACAATGATGATTGCTTTGGGCTGTCTGTCCACCTCAATGAGGATTTACTGCCCACATTTCGAAGATAAGTGTTAAGCTAGTTTAGTTTCTGGGTTTCTGGTGGCTTGTTTTAAGGGGAAGTCACACTTTGAGCGGCTCCTGCATTTTGGATTTGCCTTTGGAGAACAGTTGTCAACTTCGATTTTTCTCACAGATGGAAAATCATACTCAGACATCATCTCTGGGTTCTTGTTTTGTGCTACATTGTGGAGATCAGACTTTGGAGTGCTTTGTGATTTGTGACAGGCAGATAGCCCCAGGCACACATTTTTGTCAGGCCCTATTGTCTAAGGGATGTTTGCCATACTTGCCCGATCCTAAGAGTTACCAAGGGGAGCAGGTCCACCATACATATAACCAAGTCCCACCTCTCCTGAGTCAGGTTCCTCAGGGGACAGGTTTGCACGTTGCTGTTGCTATCATATCTTGTCTTCTCCTGGGAATCTTCTGGAGGCATCCCATCTCCTGAAGACAAAAAGGCCAGTGTGTGAATCTGAGCTGCAAGGCTTAAGTTGGTCCCTGTGGTCTCTCTCCTTGCTTCTCCATGTAGCCCGCCCACACTGCTCCCACTGGCCCCTCCCACACTGTCCCCACCCACACTGCCCCTGCCCACTCTGGCCCCGCCCACACTGCTCCCCCTTGCTCACACTGGCCCTGCCCACACTGCCATACTGGCCACTCCCGTGCTGACCACATCCACATTGGTCTCTCCTGCTCACACTGGCCCCCTCATTGCTCTTCCAACAGGTGGACCAACAGGACCTCTCACTCTCAGAGTTTCTGCACTTGCTCTTCCCTGTGTATCCATGGGGCGCCTTCCTGCTTCTTCACTGCCTTCAGGGCTTAGTTCACATGGCATTTTCTCACTGAAACATTTTCTGATCACTCCATTGAAAATAACATCCCTTATCCCGGTCCCCACCAGTGTATTCGTTTGTATCCTCCTCCCCTGATCCATTTTCCTCCACAGTATTCATCACCATCTATCTTGCTATGTATTTTCTAAAATCTTATTTCTCCCTTGAGGGTATGCATTTTGTACCAGTTGATTCCCTGCAGTGTCTAGCATGGTGCCTAGGGCACAGATAGGGCTCACTAAATATATGTTGAAGGACGGATGGATTTTTGACAAGCCCCTGGTCATTCTTCATGTCACTCAATATCAGAAAATGCTAGTCCGGTAGATGTTTAGAAGGAAACTGAGTGAACCACAGGAAACATTTGTTTTCTCCCGGTCATGTCTCCCGGTTCCCCAGGCTCTAAGACTCGATAAATGCCTGGACTCGCTTGCAACCTCTGCCTGTCCTTGCTGTGAACAGCCACCCTGACAGGGGACGATGACACATTGAGTGTGAGTGGGAATCTTTTGGGGGTGACTAATTCACCTTGGGGAACAAATTCTTCTGCTGAAAAGTGACTTCATTCGCACATTTCACCTGGTACAGTGAATGGTAAATGTCTTTCCCTGGTACAGTGAATGGTAACTGTCTCCCAGCCTTTTTGTATAGATAGTGTTTAGCTGGATTGACTTCAGACAGGAGATTTGAACAAATCTACATCCTCAAGGGTAGTTGTCCTTGGACAAAGTGTGGTTCTTGGACCAGCATTGGCCTCACATGGGAACTGTTTAGAAATGCAAACTCTCCAGTCCTACTTAATCAGAATATGTATGCGGTGGTTAATTTTAGGTCAACCTGGCTGGGCCGTGGTGCCCAGATATGTGTCCAAATGTTGTTTTAGATGTTTCTATGATGGTGTTTTTTGGATGAGATGAACATAAAATTGGTGGACTTTGAGTAAAGCAGATTGCCCTCCATCATGGGTGGGCCTTGTCCAACCAGTTGAAGGCCTGACTAGAACAAAGTCTGACTTCCCTGGGCAAGAAGGAATTCTGCCAGCAGATGGCCTTCAGACTTGAATGACAAGATCAGATCTTCCCTTGGGTCTCCAGGCTGCTGGCCCATCCTGCAGGTTTTTGACTTGCCAAGGTTTGTGAGCCAATTCCTTAAAGTAAATCTCTCTCTCTACCTGTGTATATACACTCCTGTTGGTTCTGTTTCTTTGGAGAACTCTAATGCAGTACATTTTAACAAGATCCCTAGGAGATTCATATATATCTTTAAGTTTGAGAAGCACTGACCTTAATAAACTCTTCTGGTAGAATGATTTTGATGGGTGCTGCCTTTGGCTGTTTGTATTTTTATGTGTTTAATTCTGTAACAGGACACATAAGGTTGTATAGTAAGGTAATTATTTTAATGTTGTACAGTAGCCATCTCCTGGATGGATGTCATTTTCTCTAAATTACTGATTATGTTGATTCTATTTCAGGATGAAAATATTTTAGACTTATTTCTCTAATTCAACTAGACTAAACGTTAGTATGCTTTTCCTCCCCTGCCCCGCTCCTCAACCTTTGGTTTCTTGACTCAAACGGGATTTCTTTCCTCCCTAAACCTTTACCTTCATGGCCTTCAGATACATTGGGTCCCCTTAAGCACACTCAGGGAATTTCCCAATTATTCAAGTGGGAAATGTTCACACATAGATGGATCAATATGCCACCTGTATTTCTGTGTGTGTGTTTTATACAGATGGAATCTTGGGTTCAAATGTTATAGTCAAACTATCTTATAAGGTGCTTTCTAAAGTCATCATAAAGAGTGTGTGAATTTTCATATTTCCTTTACTGATTAATGTTGGTTGCTTTATTTCAATGGCCAGCGCTACCATAAAGGAATGCATGATGTTCCATTTAACCTTGCCCTCTAAGCTGCAGTTAAGAAAACTTGGTACTATGAGCTATCGCATACATGAGTTTGATGTATTTTCTCCTTCTCTTTAATGACCTTAATGTCAGCTATTTTATTCTGTCTGGCAGAATTTTATGGTGACTTGTTACCACATAGGGCTCCATAAGTGAGTAGGGACTCCATGTAAGATTTTCTAGCTAATTCAGTGATATTCCTTCAAGCATCATATTCTTTAAGTTTGAACTGTTTTATAAATGGTTTTCATGTTGTTTGTCATGCATTTATTTAATACCTTAAACAGAAGAAGGCTACACATAATAAGCAGGCTGAAAATAAGCTTTGTAGAACAGGGCCAGCACAGCAATTTACTTGTCCTGCATTTTGAAATGGTTTGTTTTTAAAATCACTTGCAACATTTTGGAAACTTTTTTTTTTATAATTTACATCTATAGCTGATAGTGGGGTTTTTCTTTGTACTTACAGTACGGCCAAGTACAGCGTGTTGACATTTCTACCTCGATTCTTGTATGAGCAGATTAGAAGAGCTGCTAATGCCTTCTTCCTCTTCATTGCCTTATTGCAGGTAATATTTCTTCAAAAATTATTTAAAATTCATAACCATAATTACATGTAAAATGAGGTTTTGCTGAAAGGTCCCTTAGCTGAAAAAGTGTCATAATATGCTAATGTAATTTGCTTTTTTCATCCAGTTGTTATTTGCATGAACAAACACTACCTTTGCATGAAAGCAGACTCCTTTAGGTATGCCTTAAAGAAAATTGCAATTACTATAAAAGAGGCAGGGAAAAATGGTGAGAGGGTCATACTTTTAACCCTTTTTCTGTTCTACACATAACAATAAAATTTTAAAAACGTGTAACACACTTAGCTAGTTTTAAGAAATAAGGTAATCATTTTGGTGTAACAGAAATGGAACAGAACCATGCAAGAGTGAGTGGTGTCATAATTTCTTCTTTTCCATCAAGAGTATTTTAATTTGTCAACTTCCCTCTTTTGGTCTCTTATCTTTCAGCAAATTCCAGATGTATCTCCAACAGGAAGATATACCACCCTGGTGCCATTGATCATTATTTTAACAATTGCAGGCATCAAAGAGATTGTAGAAGATTTTGTAAGTTTTTGCTTTCCGATAATGAAAACATTTGCTGAATATGAACTTATAACTAATTTGTCGCTTTGGGCTTTTTCTGTTTAAGACAGGACATTGGTTTGTAGTTTAACTAGCCCTTCAAGGTTCGTGATGGTATGTTTTGGGAGGGCACAAGTACATACAGTGTCCTTACTATTTATATAATGACACAGAAGTAGTTCAAACTGTGTTTTCTACTATGAGCTTTCTAGAGCCCCTTTGATCTGTTATCACTGATGCTCCCTACACCCTCCTTTAGAACTTGCTAATTTGGGTGGCAAATGAAGGACCCTTTTGCTGTCTAGCGTAGCATCACTGTGCTGGCTGTGCCCGAGGTCATTTTACAATAATCTTCTCCTGTCTCATGCTCCTCTCAGTATATCTCCAAGTTCATCAGCTCAACCATATTCATACTCTCTCCTTTTTTCTCTCTAGCATCTTTCCAGCTCTCTCTGCTCTTTCTCTCCCCTCCCTTGCTCCCACTTCCAGTCTCTATCACACCATCCTACACTTTTTTCTGGGAATAGGTAAACGAATACATGTAATTAACACAAATCAAAGCAATAGTTATTTTGCCCCAGAAGTTCTTTATGGAGAGAATGAATTCAATTGTTGTTGTTGGGTTTATCATCCAGAATAATTCTTTCGTTATGATAAAAAACAAAGAGGAGGGAGACGTTTCATACTTCAAGGGCTTGTTTGTTGTTAGAACCAAAACACAATCATTGAAACCAGGTGAGATGGCATCTCCATGGACTGCGCTTGTCCACTGAATGCAGCAAGCGCTGCTCGATCACCAGTCACTGAACTGGAGTTTACAGCCTCAGTGTTGTTGGCAGCTGGCATCCTTGTCCCCTGTTTTCTCCTGATCTTATTGTTCGCGGGTTCCAATTATTCATCTGGAACTTCTGAATCTAAGAACTTTTTTTCTTTCTGTAACAGAAGCGACATAAGGCCGACAATGCAGTTAACAAAAAGAAAACAATAGGTACGATACCAAGCTGATCCCCTTTTTCCACTAAATACCTAAGAATAAGACCTACCTGTAGTTAAGGAATTTTAAATAAGTAGTTGATGATATTTGGATAAATTGGGGAAAATGATTTATACATACTTGAAAGAAATAGCAAAATGACCCAAAAAAAATGCAACAAAATGTGAGTCCTGGCAATTAAGATTTGAATGGGATTTGTGTATTTTAGAGTTTTAGAAAAAGGTTGTAGTTTTCAGGAGCTGGACATATTTTATATTTAAAAAAGTCCAAGCATTCCTATCCTTGGCTTATAATTGCTCCCTACCTCTGTCTACTTTTTATTGTATTGACTTCTAGAATATTAGCTCTGTGTTGTGGGTGTTTTATTAATCTTTTTGGTTCTTCTTTGTTTGTTTTCTGTAAATCTTGTAATAGCAGGGTGATTTTTTTTTCTTCTGGGATAAATCTGAATAGATTTAACTTACATACATACACCTGTATTTCTATGGATGCATTAATGTATATGTGGTACATAGGTACATAGATTGGGGCTGTGTTTTGGGGAGTGGTGATAGTATACCTTTATCTCTAAGCATATGGTGTGTTGGAATTAATAAGTGGGATTTTAAAATGAGCCTTGTGGATTTTGGAAAGCTGATTTTATTTTGATTATCACCAGGATTAACAGGTGCTTTCTTTTTTTCTTTTTCAGTGTTAAGAAATGGTATGTGGCAAACCATTATGTGGAAAGAGGTAAACACTAATTTTAAAGATATACAAGAAAGTATTGGTTGGAGACTTGTAATTAATTGCTAGTCTTGATTACAGTATAAAGTTTGTGTTAAGACATATGTTGTCTTCATTGAATGTATGTTTTACATTGAGGAGTTTCCCCACAAGGTTTTACTTAGGAGTGATGCGTATTTACTCTGTTCCTTGCACTTTCTAGAAGGTGCTCACTGTGTCAGTTCATTTTGAAGTTCATTGCTTCTGGTGGATAGTTCTGAAATCTCAAAGCATTTTCTACTTTCTAAATCCAATTCAAGAAACATTTCCTCTGGTCTTCTGTTCTCTTAACCTAAATCCATTTTTTAAAAGGTTTTTTTTGAAGTTGAGATTTTCACTTCTAACATTTTTGGTGGAAAGAGTTTTGAGTTTATGATCACCATGAAATATAAAGTGGTGGGGTAGTGGTTGAAACCATCCCATTTCAATTCCGAGGCAGGGGTGGTTGGGTGTGACTAGTGGTGACTGCTCTTAACTTTACAATAGCGAGAAAGGTTTGCCCCCATGGTCCTGGAGGCACGAAGTCTGAAAATACTGTGGTTTTCTGATTGTTTACAGTGATGAAGAGAAAAGTTAGAAGAAATATGGTGTGCCATCTTGGTTTCTTGTATCTGATAAAATTAGCTTTTGAAGTGAGTCTCCATTTTCGCTGGACTTTCTTAACAGTCACAAGATGTTTCTTGGGATAGCTCTCATTACTCCAGGATTCAAAGCTGATTAACATGATTTCAAAAGCAAATTACTTTTTAGAACTGTAACTTACAATAGTTTCTCTTGCTAAACATTTAGTAAGCACTGTTTTAAAATGCCTCTGTGATCTTTTCATCTGCAAAATACTTGTGTTACAGTAACTGCAGCCTTCATTTTAGTTTTTGTTTTGTTTTCACTTTGTTATAGGAGCCCCTTTTTAGTGTTTCGTGATAACACCTTAACCTTGGTAGCAATCCAGAAATCTCGTACTGCAAGTATTAATTGACCTCCCTCTCACTTGGAAGTAGAGTGGTTCTTGGTTATTGGTTGGAAATTATGAACTTCACAGAGAGTAGAAACACTACCGGTGCTATAGGAATGCAAGGACTCCCATGGCACTTTGGAAAGGCCTGTTTCTTGCCCCAAAAAGGCATGAATACTGGCTGGAGTGGAGAGCCATGTGGATTTGGGATGTTGACACTACTTGAAACAGCAAAAGTAGAGTGATGATTTCTGAATTCTGATTCGGGGCCCAGGGGTTGATGGCCTTTCAGACTCCTAAAGCTTATTACTGTTTCCCACACTTATTTGGAGGAAAAAACAAAACAAAAAACCCAAACCCTAAACCAAACACCTGTTATATGCTTTGCCACATGCATTTTCATTTCCATTGAAAATGCACTTTGTTTATTTAAATAGAGCTCTCAGCACGTACCAGAGACTGTGTTAGGCATTGAGGATGCAAAGAAATATCGTAAAGCCTAACGCTGCCATTAAGGAGTTTTCTCCAGTGATTGTCCCAGTTACCTGAGGGGCTGGTGCAACACGGAGCTGGGCCCCACTTGCAGACATTCTTATTGTTCTGATTCACTAGTTCCAGGTGGGGGCCCCTAGAATTTGCATTTTTACCAAGTTCCCAAATGAGGCTGATGCTGCTGGTCTGGGGACCACACTGCAGAACCACTGGTGTCGTGGAAGTGACAGGCAGCTAAATAGCGTGCAGTGCAGGTGCTGAGCTCAGTGTGGGGGCAGTTTCAGGTGCTCTGGGGGCATCTTGGAGGGAAAGCTTCCCTCATGAGATGTGCTAGTGTTCTCTTGAAGGATGAACAGGAGGTAACCAGTTTAAGACAGAGGGACAGGCTGAGACTCGGAGGTATCTGCAGGCACATCTGCAGAACTGCTCAGAATGGGGACAGGTGGTGAGAGGGCAGTGGGAGCAGAGGCCAGAGATGGCAGGCAAGGTGCAGTCGGCTATCTTTAAGCTTCCTAAAGCAATAATTGCTCCATCTGATGCCTTGAACTCCCGTCAGTGATCCCCAGGCTATAGCTGAATCACCGGTGCATGCTGAGAGGCAGCTCTGGGATGGATGTCAACAGCTTTGGTTGACTTTGAGAAGACTTTGGGCTTATTCTTCAAACTTGAGAAATCCTCTGAGGCCAGAGTGGATTCAGGGGTCTCACAGGGTCTCTTTCCACCTGAAGAATTCTTGCTCTAGGTAGTTTCACACACAGGGGGGACAACCAGGCCTAAGAACCCCAAATGGAAAACCATTTTCAAACAGAATTCCAAGTAGTTTCTCATGTACATGAAACTTCTTAGTTCTTCGTTACTGGGATATAAAATGTTTCTTTATTTTGATAATGAAGGTGGGAGAAATCCATAATTTCACTTGTCCTTCCACTATGAATTAAAAAAAATCCACTGCCTTTTTTCTTTTCAAAACATGACTAATTGTTCTTTCTAGTTTTTTCAAACTAATTGCTTCTTCTGATTTTTTTTCTAGGTAATTAAACTATTCACATAAAATATGCATTTTTACACTTAAAAACCATTTTCAATTTTCATAGGTATTCCTTGCTTTTGTGCTGATGATTTTTAACATAGCTCTGTTGCATTTATTTGACTTTTCTTCATTATGGCATATACTTCAATCAAATGCCTTCCTTTGGCCTTAAAATTGGACACTAACTTCCAACGTACAGTGGTTCTGGAATTTAATTTCTACCACCCTTCCTTATGTTGAGCCCAATTCCTTAGACTTCCCCACACACTTTGATAAGTAATTCACAGCACTAGTAGGATACCTTTCAGTAAACCTTCCTTTTTCTTATAGAAAATTAAATCTAGGCCCCTGCCAAGGCCATTCTCCCAGCTTGCAAGATCCAGTAGCTTTTCACAAATATCACATCATGTGAAATTCTTGATTTCTAAGAGAATACTAACAGAGATTAGAATAAGAAACAGAAAACCTAGTGCCCATTTTGAGTTTTGAAATTGTTAGTGCACTAGGAATGGCTTTTCTTCTTGTGCCGTGAGTGAATTCTGCCATCTTTGATTTTCACACTCACAGTGCCCATTCATTTACACTCACGCTGGTGGAGGCTGACAGTGCGGGCCTGTTTCATGCCAGGTGCTTGCACATACTTCCTTCGTCACATGTCAGCCCTACCAGGTCAGTGGTGGTATGTCCCTGCTTTATAAGTGAGGACACGGGAACTCAGAGCGGTGAAGGGCTTGTCAAGATCCAGAGCTAGTGTGTCTGTGAAGCTTGGACTTGAGCCTGGCCTTGCCTGACATGAAAGCCCAGGTTTCATCCAGCCCCATGTTTCTGTGATGTTATTTACAGGGTTTATAGACCCTTGACCATGGCACTCATGTTCTTCAGACAAGGGCCTGTTTCTTTGGCTTAGGGTCTTCTGTCCAGTGGAGTCTGCTTCCCAAGGTGGTCTCTGACTTTGACCATGACTCTTTTTTCTGGCAGTTTTTTGAAGCTATATGAGTACAATTTTTTTTTTGTTTTATGTGGTATATATCCAGGGGACCTTTTAGATGGACTGTTCTTGGGTGAATCTAGTATTGTCTGTTAATCAGACCACTGGCCAAATTGTTCAGTTTTGAATCTGGGTTCCAACACACTCACTGGCAGTGTGACCTTGAACAAGTTATATCACTTTGAACCTCAGCTTCTGCATTTCTAAAATGGAGAAAATTTACTTGTATTAGTTCAATTGATCCTCACCATAACCCCATGAAATATGTGCTGTTGACCTCATTATACGAGGTCTAACAATTAAGTTCACAAACTTATTGCACCGATGTCGCTAACCTTTTTTGATATCAGAGGGATTATTCGTTATGAATTTGTACCTACTGGACAGTTAACCAAGTTTACTATTTGGAAGTGCTGAAAAGGCTGAGTGAAAAAGTTAGACAATCTGAACTTTTTGCTAACAATTCATGGCTCTTGCATCACGACAATGCACCAGCTCACATGGCACTGTCTGTGAGGGCGTTTTTAGCCAGTAAACAAATAACTGTATTGGAACACCCTCCCTACTCACCTGATCTGTCCCCTACTGACTTCTTTCTTTACCTGAAGAGAAAGGAAATATTGAAAGAAAGACATTTTGATGACATTCAGGACATCAAGGGTAATATGACAACAGCTCTGATGGCCATTATAGGAAAAGAGTTCCAAAATTGCTTTGAAGGGTGGACTAGGCGCTGGCGTCAGTGCATAGCTTTTCTAAGGGGAGTACTTCAAAGGTGACCATAGTGATATTCAGCAATGAGGTATGTAGCACTTTTTCGAGGATGACTTTGCAAACTTAATTGTCTGACCTCATATGGATGAGAAAACTGAGGCACACGGAGTTTACATGAGTTGCTCACGATTACACACAACTCATAAGGAGGATGTATGGCCAGTGGATTTGAACCCAGAGCTGTGCACTTACTTACCCACACTACCTGACTGGGTACAGCTGTGGAGTTGTTCCAGTGGAAGCTGTGGGATTTATAAGTGGATGCATAATTATAAGAAAATGAGACCTTGATAGTTCTGACTCATCTTTCCCACTCGCTTTCTTTTTTGTTTTTTTTTCTTTTTCATTCAGCATCATTGCAAAGAGACAATAGCACCATTTATCTATACTGAAAGATTTTTTCTTTTGTTCTCGGCAAGCAGAAGAATTTGGGCTCCTCCATCTTAAACTTCATGGCATAGTTATATAGTAATCTTTCTTCATATATTTAACCACCTTTGTCATCATTTGTGCTTTCTTTTTTTTCATGCTTCTCTGTCCTTGTCCCTGGTTTTCTAGGTGACGGTGGGAGACATTGTGAAGGTCATCAATGGGCAGTATCTTCCAGCAGACATGGTCCTGCTCTCCTCCAGGTCAGCTATGCTACAGTGGGCACATTTTATGAAATGTTAAAAACAATGAAATAGTAAATGGTGACTGCCAAACCTAGTGCCACCCTTTCCCTTGTACCGTGAGTCACCAGCCTTCTCTCTCTGGCCTATTCTCCCATAACCTGTCATTTGCATTTTACTGACTTAATCCTAAATTTTCTGTCTCCCATTTATTCCTTTGTGCTTTCTGTGACCTCTTTACATTTTGTGATTCATTTTTGTCTTATGGCTGGCTATTCAGGGCCGTTCCTCAGTTGCAGGGACATTCGAGAGCAGTGGAGTGATTCGTTCAGTAACCTCCAGGTGGCAGCATATCTGAGACTTAGATCCTGTCTCCTGTTGGGTCCTGCCAGCTGCCTTTCCCGCGGAACCCAGTACCTCCCTTTACTAGCTATTCAGAGAACCACGGGAATTTTCTCAGCATAGACATGACCGGCACATGGTGTTTCCTCTTCACTCATCCACATTTTGCTCCCTTTTTACCCAAGTATCATTGCCATGTTCTGTAAGTTGTTTTGTGCCAGAAAGGTATCATCACTAAGTGGCGAAAATAATGGACAACACAGTCCTTGACTTTTCTTGATACGTGTAATTATATATCAAAGAAGGAATGCCAAAATTAGAATAAGAATAAACTTCTAACCTTGAGTTCAAGGTTAAACAATATGTTAACATTAACATTTCCTACATCCCTGTTGGGAATCATAGGTGCTCATAGTGTCTGCATTTTCTTTGATGGCAAACAGTGTTTCTTTTATTGTATGTGATCACATTAGATTTTAAGCCTTAACATGAATTTTCTGCTTAAGATCAAAGGTTTAAAAATAGACCACAGGCCTGTAGAGGGGTGAAAGCACCACGTACATAGGGCAGGATTCGTGTTTGTTCCTAATGATTGGTTACAAACAGACTCTTAGAAATAGTAAAATGTGGACCACTTGATAGTTTGGGGCCTAATTTAGTTGTGGCCCTCAGGAAACCTGGTTGGAATATGAGATTGTTTTTCCAAGCTGATGTCATGTTTGCAGGATGCTCATTAGTGCTTGAGACTGTACTTTGTGCCAAGCAGCCTGCTGAGAGAGATTGAACTATTGCCAAAGCCATGTAGCCAGTGAAGGTAGTGCAGGAGATTCGAACTTAGCCAGTGGTTTACAGAATCCATTCGCCTAACCATTAATTCTCTTAACTATTAATTATGCTGCCTAACTCTGAAGATTGGGAATAGCAGTATCTGCTATGATTGTTTTTATTCTTTGAGTTTTCTGTCCTTAAAATTAGGTGTTTTGATTAAAAACTCGCCTGTTGACGTAGTGAAAGGTCAGGGCACTAAAGGCTTGCCAAGCCTCTGCCTTGATTCCTGAACCCTTCTGGCTGTAATTTTCTGGAAAAGATGTGTTTATGCAGGCTGGGCCTGGGGAGGCTCTTTAGGTCTGGAAGAGCAGGCCAGGTCTCAGACTTTAAGGGTCACTCACACCTGTTGGTTGGGTCTTAGCTAAAGCATCATGTGTTTGCCCTAACCTTTCCCCACCCCTTCTCATTCATCCTCAGTTGTTTCTGTCTACCTGAGATCAAGCAGCCATTATGTGGGGCCCACGTGGGTGGACCATTGGGCAAACAGCTTTGTGTTGCTATTGAGCCCCAAAGACAAGTGTTTGTCTTTCTACTCAATTACTACTTCTAAAGTGATTGTTTATACAGTTGATCCTTGCACAACATGGTTTAACTATTCAAGTCCACTTATACATGGATTTTTTTCAATAAATACCTGCTCTGTTTTCAATTCATGGTTGGGAGTTGGGGGGTGTGGAGGGCCGACTGTATGCATTGATCTGCCATTTTATAGAGGACTTGAGCATCCACAGATTTTGGTATCCATGGGGGGTCCTGGAACCAATCTGCAGGTACCAAGGGACAACTGAGGATAGTTAAGTTTTGGGGGAGTCAGAAGATAAGCTTGGATTTTCGATTGTGCAACAATGTGGATGTCAGTGCCCCTAACCCCCGCGCTGTTCAAGGGCCAACTGTACTATTTTGAAGGGCTGATCAGCACACATAGTTTCCATAGTGGAGACTCTATGAGCTGTGAATCTGTGGAGGGAACCTTACTTAACTTTGGCTTTTTTCCCTCTCTCTCCATAGTGAACCTCAGGCAATGTGTTATGTTGAAACAGCCAATCTAGACGGGGAGACGAACCTTAAAATACGTCAGGTAAAGTTACCTTTGATGACCTGTGTTGTTATGGAGACCAAAATCGCAAATCTGGTCCCCCTCCCATGTACCACTCAATGCATTTTCTAGAGAAGAAAATGTTCTGCCACAAAGATTATGCCTTAACTCTAATGGAGTCTCCAGGAAGAACATGCCTTGTATTATGAAGGGAACTCCTTGACAGTGCGGGCAGAGTCAAAACAGTGGGCTTCATCCAAGTTATATTAATTCTAGAACAAAGAATAGTTTTTAATACAATAAACACTTCAAGCATTTGACAGTTAAATTTTATGCTGCATAAAATTGATTTGGATAATTCTGTCCACATATTTTTCTTTTCTACCTCAGATATTTGATTTAGACTATTTTTTCTGTTTAAAGAAGAATTACTGGGTGCTAGATATAATACTGTATTAAAGGGATTCTTTATTCTATGTTTACAACCAGAGTTAGAGTATAGCTAATAAGTATGCTTTCTGTGAGGTGTTTGAGTATGTGTATTGTTACTAAACATGGATGTTTCCAGTACGGTGGTGGGATCTTAGCTTTCTGCTTCATTGAATTCTTTTGAAACTTTTTGCATTAGTTTGCTGTCTGTAAAAAAGCTGCCTGTAACGTCCATCTTGTGCGATAATAGTTTGATTTCTTAGCCTCCTCAAGTTATTCCATTTTAGATGATTCACCATTTCCTTTAGATTAAGAGTGGGGATGTAGAATGTTGTCCCTAAACCCAGAAGATTGTATTCAATTTCCTCTTTTGGTTTAACATTTTAGGGTTTGACTCACACTGCTGATATGCAAACAAGGGAAGTGTTGATGAAGTTATCTGGAACTATAGAGTGTGAAGGGCCCAACCGCCACCTCTATGACTTCACTGGAAACTTAAACGTAGATGGGAAAAGGTATCACTTTCCCTTTAATTAGTGGGTTTTTTTTCTTTTTTTCTTTCTCTCTCTCTCTCTCTCTCTTTTTATTTTTTTAGCTGAGCCATCCTGCCACCTGTTGGCAACTCAGCTTGGGCTGGACTCGAACCGCTGTTGCTCAGAGCTCAAACCCTTGAGCAAGCTCTTAACCAACTGAGCCACTCGGCCGGCCCTTCTTTCTCTCTTTTTTTAAATGGGACTAGGAATTACTGGTGCTTTGGAAAATATAAGTTTGTTTCCTGTTTTCATAACATTTCAAAACAATGAGGTTTCTTTATGTTGAGTTTAGATATGAGAGACCGAGCTTTTTTTGAAATACTATTTCAATCAATTTAAACCTTCCCTTAAATTTAAGGAAATAATTGTTTTTTTGTTAAGAAAAACAGCCAGAGGGTCTGAAATGAGATTCACAGCACTGGTCTGTTCTTTCTGTATATATTACCTGCCAGGGAGGAGAGATGGTTTTGGCTGTATAAAATTGTTCAGAAAAGCAGTAGACAGGGGTCTGAGGTGTAAAAAAGCTAATATGTTTATTAGGAAGCTTTTTTTTTGACTAGCATTCTTTTAAGTAGCATTTGTTTTTAGAAAGTTGAATGAAAGGAACAACAATTAGAATATTTGTTGTCTTCCTTTAGAATATTCAGTGCCCTGTTGTCTGTATTCTGTTGTCTTTGTCCTCTTGGCATTGTTTTATTGTTGGAGAGTCATTTTTTTGTCATTATGTTGAGGTGCAGTTTCTACCCTCTGCCCATCTTTAACCTGCATGGTTCTTACCGATGAAGGCTTCCCACCTTGGTATTTTGATCAGACCCAAAGGGAAGGACCCCATCATGGGGATCTACCCCAAATACCCATGACAACTACGTGTGACTGCTTCCTTGATTTTCATTTGGTGTGCAGAGCCATTCCTAGGCTCCCATTTTGGATTTCTACATTATCACTCAACTTTTTATCTAATCATTAAGCCATCCCTGACAAATTTGATAATGTAGCTTTATTGCTTCCCTGCACCCTTTACCACAGGCATGAAATAAACTGGGTTTCCCAAATGAATAAACTGCTGGCTATTTTAACAATTTCCTTTTAGGGTGTTGAGTTTTTTTTTTGTTTTTTTTTAGGGTGTTGAGTTTCTTAACAGGGTTATAAGATACACAATTCCCTCTAACTTTTTATAGGAAAAACTTTTTTTTTCCCTGTAGTGTAGTGATGAAGGGATAAGAGAAAACTTTTTGTGCTTTTTTTTTTTTTTTTTTTTTTTTTTTTTTTAGAGTAAGCTAATGGCAACCTATTTCTCAGTGAAATAGTTCAAATTTGACTAAAGGAAACATTTGATTTATGGTGGGTTTATGTTTAAGGGGGAAAGCTCATACTCATTTGTCAGACTATAATTAAATATAAATGTTGTTTCTTATTTTTAGCCCTGTTGCCCTTGGGCCTGACCAGATCTTATTAAGAGGTACACAGCTTAGAAATACTCAGTGGGTCTTTGGCATAGTTGTTTACACGGGACACGACACCAAACTCATGCAGGTAAAACGTTTCTGTGCTGAAAAACAATGCCGATTTTAGCCTTCCTTTCTTTCTTTCTCCCGTCCCCTCTTTCCTTTCTTCCTCCCTCCCTCCCTCCCTTCTTTTTTTTTTTCTGTTTTTATGGCATAGAGAGTGGAAATGCAGATGTTGCATTTAGGAAGCTCCAGTATGTCTATGAACCTAAATTTGGGAAGGAAATGCCTTTATTTTGGTTCTCTCTGTAGTTTCCCCTGGATTTCTGTTCTTGTATCAGATATTTGTTACCTCTTGTTTGAAATCTCAATGGTCTTTGTTTCCCAGATTTTAGGGGGACAATCAGTTCTAACTTATTTTACCTTCTGGACTTAAATGGGGACTTGTCCTTTCTTTATTGCTCTCACTACTTCTGCTCCTCACCCCATTACTTAGGGTTTTACAGTAAATTGTCTAATTTAACTGAATTCTAGACAATGTAAAAATCAATTATTTTCAAACTAATGCTTATTCTTCATATGCCAAAAAAAAAATCAAACATGATTTTGCTCTTTTTCCCTGCTAATGTTTTTTAAATTAATTGCATATTTGCATCCCACATTTATATTATGACATATTTTGTCAGGAAATTTTGAAATTCTGCATAAATCTGTGTCTGTATGTGTCATTTCTTATATTTCTTTGATATCACTTGTCATCTTATTTTACTAATGGTAGCTATTAATGAGAATTGGACTTTTGGCTGGTCTGCCTTTTTGTATAATTTCTATGGCACATAATTGACGATATGTCTTAATTTAAAAATGTTTAGTGACCACTGTGTACCACGCCTTGTGCCCGGCTGTGTGGTTACAATCGTGAAAGGCCCAGTCTTCTCCTCTGGGAGCCACACAGACTAAGGGGTAGTAGGGAATTACCATGTAGAGAGATCAGTATTGTAATGTGTGTCATTACAAAGTGCTTTGGGTGTATGTAGAAGGGTCAACCAACCCAGATTTGGGGGTGTCAGTTGGATAGCCACTAAGAATTATTCTAAGAAGCACATTTTAGATGTGGATTTGGAGAAGGGAGGCTATTGTGTTGATCCACTCTTTGAGGTCAAATGATGTAGGAAGAGAGAGTTCAATACTTACTAGGACAGATGAAGTGATGGACCCCAATGTGCACACCTGCTGGGTCATGTAGTGGAGATAGAGGAGGGAGATGGGAGGACTAGGTGGATTGAGAGACTCATTGAAGTTCAAGAAGATTGTTGGAGATGCTGAGTGACAGCTGATCACTCTTTGAATCTCTGGGGTGGAAGGTTTGTAGAGTGGAGGGACCTGGGAGTGAACCATGGAAGTAGGAGGTGAATGGAGGCCATTCGATGTTGAAGACAAAAGGACTCAGAGACTAAGGCATTGGATGGGTTGGTGCTGTGGTTTTGAAGGTTGGATAATGGCAGGGCTAGGGAAGAGACAGTACCATAAGCCAAAGCTCAAGTCTTCAGGGCGTGAGGGGAAGTGACTGAGAGGATGATAGGTTTGCTGAGGGAAGAGGCAGAAGGTAGTGTAGCCAAATGGCATGACTTTTACAAGTGAGTTTTTAACATGGCATTAGAAAAATAAAGTGTCAGAAGTATCACTGAATCCCACAGATACATTCAATAGTATAATCTTCAGATTCTGAGGGGCGCAAGTCTTTCCTGGAGCACCCTCGGTTCGAGGGGACTTTAGGGAGGGAGTGTCTTCAGCTGGACAAGGCAGGGGGCAGGAGGCCAGCTTCTGAAGGAGGGCCAGGACATAGAGAAGTGCTGGTCCTGGAATGGTAGGGCCTCAGGTGTGGTGGGATGGTTACAGAGGGCGTGTGGGTGGGAGGGGCGATGGCTGTGAGGAAGCTCTGGGAAGGGTTAAGATTAGTCAGTGTGTCTGAGATGTGCCCAATTCATCCTTCTTGCTGGTTCCTCGCTCGTTCAGAAGTGTTGATGGGAAAGATTTAAGTTTGTTGCTTCTGAGCACTTGTCTGTGAAGAATTTATCTTGATAAATAGTGCTCTGCCACCTAGTAAGGATTTTCTGACTTTCTGAGCCCAGTGCCAGCATCTACTGTCTGACACTTTCGGAGCTCCCCTAAGCACAGATCACTTCTGTTTTTTATCAAGTGACAAAGAGATCACAAGGAGCTAGCCCAAGACTAGTTTTCAGGTTGTGCACATGACAAATTTAACCCCTCTAAAAGATTCCTGGTACACTGGCTTTTTTCTCAGGATGAAATACTGTTTTTCTAGATTCATACTTTGGTAATACAGCTTTGTAGCTAAGGTGTAAGAGATAATTAAGTTACACTTAAAATGATCCCATCGTCTCTTTAGTGAGAAGGTATGCACTGTTGCCTCATGAAGCTTGCATCTCCTGAGTGTGATGAGCACATTTCCTTGTACCTAGATGTGAGAAACAAACCCCTTTGCAAGGGTTATTACATGTTGACTCTTCAAGTACACAATAATAGAAAGCCCCAGAAACATCTGTGCTGGACTTGCTGTGCCTTTGGGGCTGAAACAACAAGTAAAAATAATGAGTTTCCAAAAGGAATATAGTATAACACACATAGCTGGAAACCATCCTGTTTGTGAAATAACATTTTTCATCTGTACTTGTATAACTTGACCACAAAGAGGAAACACGATTGCTTTAGGGCTCTTCTACTTTGTTTTGTTTTTCAGACTCTCCCCTCAATGCCTTCTATTCTCCAAAGCTCTCTTGCTTCATGTTTAGTGTAGTTACATGTAGAAATACTTCATTGTCTACTGTTGCTGTTGGTTGATTTAATGGGAAAGACAGATATTATCACAGGAATTACAGCAAATACTTAGTGCCCATGCCCTGTTCTAAGCAATAGGCATGTGTTAACCCATTTGATCCTCACAATGGCTCTGTGAGGAAGATACTATTATTTCTAATTTTTTTTTTAGATGTGGACATTGAGGCACAGGGTGTCTAAGTAAGTTACCAAAGTTACACACCCAGTAAGAGAGAGAGCTGGGATTCAAACATTGGCAGTCTGGCTCCCAAGTCCATTTTCTAACTAGTTCTCCACTGACTGCTTTCTTAGGAGGAAATGAAGTGTGTACAATTCAGGTCAGATGTAAACTTTTACAAAACTCTGACATTATGGCCTATTTCTGTTAAGAACTCCATTACTCAGAAGCAGCAGTGCTTTCTAAGAATTGTATATAAGAACTTATAATGTTAGTGGGAATTTAACATTACAGGCTCATCACTGTAAGTCGAAATGGTCAGCTGATGGGAACGGATGGGCAGAGCTTGGGTTCCCACAAGGTACACGTGTGGAAGCCTGAAGTTTTGGGCTCTTGTGTTGGATGAAAGGTAACTTTTCCTCACCCTGTTAACTGGCCAGGATTTAACCGCTGGAAAAAATCAGAAATCAGTAAACTAATGGAGTCATAGAAATGACATTTATGGTCAATTGTTTTCTGTCTATGCCTCCAATGAATCTTTATTAAAACCGATAACATCTTTACTTTTAAAAGACTGGGATAGGCAGGCTTGGAACTGGTTTCTTGGCTCTTGACCTCAGGCTGGAGGTGATGTGTTGTCCCCATCGACCTTTAGATGGTATTTGATTGATGATCGGTCAGCTTTTACTAATGGATTTCCATTTAGATTTTAGAGAAATTTTTTTAAAGTCTTTAAAGGACAAATAATTTAGAGAACTAAAGGGAGAAAAGAGTATGAGTATATAAAGGAAAATGCTGTTGTGCTATTTAGATCCTTAAAGGACTCAGTTTTTCAAAATCGCTAGTATAACACTTCCTCAACTCCCCACCCCCACAGGAAATCATGTCCATAATACTAGCATTTCTGGGCTTGGTGACAGAATTGAGATAACAATTTCAGTGATGTTGTGGTATGGGCATCTCTATGGAACTTAGGAATTGCCTCCTATTTTCATCTTGATTTTATTTTAAATTGTGACTATTTCTATTCTTATTTTCAGAGACATTTTCATCCTAGCTCTTGTTAATGATCAGATAAATCAAGAATAGTGAAGGAGAGTACTGACTTACATTTGGCACATGGCACCATTTTTATGACCAGCTGGTGCCCTAGAAGCTTTCAAGTCAGCTGATCTTTGCAAATCAGTGTTACCTTTAAAGAGGCAATCTCATGACTCATGGAAGGAGACCTGCAGACCAGAACCCCTGTGCCCATGGCCCCTGTCCACTTCCTGTTTTCTGATATAATCCAAGCTCTGCTCACCTCTAGGAGTGGGTTATTACCATCTGTTGTATGACTGTATTAATATCCTTTTGCTGCCATAACAAATTACACACATTTAAGCTTAAAACAACACAAAGTTGTTCTGTAGGTTGGAAGTCTGATACCAGGAGACCTGCAGGGCAGCATCCCTTTCCACAGAACACGCTAGGAGGCTCTAGAGGAGAATCTGTTCCTTGCTTCCCCAGCATTCTAGAGGCTGCTGGAAGCCCTTGGCTTGTGGCCCCTTTCCTCCATCTTTAACGCCAGCAAGGTTGCATCTCTTTGACCATTCTTCTGTAGTCTTGTCTTCCTCTGACCATACCTGGGAAACAATCTCCCCTTTTCTCTGCTTTTAAGGACCTGTTAGATTAGGTCCACTTGAATAATCCAAGATAATCTCCCCAAATCAAGGCCCTTAATTTAATCATACCTGCAAAGTCCCTTTTGCCATGTAAAGTAACATATTCATAGGGTCCAGGTATTAGGATATGGACATCATTGGGGGTAGGGGTGGGTGGGCATTAATTATCCTGCCCAGCACAACTACCTTCAGAAAAGCTTTAATATTGTAAAATGACTTCAAAGTACATACCTGCCTAGTGTAAACGGTTCTATTGACTTTTCCTCTGCTGAGAGGATATAGTCCCCGATTTTCCACTGAATGTGCAGTGGCCTTTGAATCTGGCCTTCATGAATCTGAACTCGTTGGGCTGGTTTCCCCATCAGCAGTGAGAAATCCGGCTGTGCATGTTTACGTTTACAGATAGTTAGGCTGTCTTTTTGCTTTTTTTTTTTTACCTTCCAGTTTGTATTCTATTTATGATTCAGGACTCCATTCAGATTTCTCCTGGCCACTAGAACTTTCCTGACTTTTCCTGCTTGTTTCTTGTTCAGTTTTCCAAATGAATTCTTTGTCCATTCATTTATTTTCACACCTATTAATGTTCTGTTTTGCGTTATTGATGTATGTATATGTTTGTGTATGTCTTTTTTCTCAATTAAATTTTAAGATGTTGGAAGGAAAATGTGTACTTTCAAAATCTCTCTTTGTATATTAATTGTAGAGATATGTTGTTACTTTGAAGATTCTAGATATTTTATGATTTAGAATCTTTAAGTTTCTCTTGAATTAGCATCATTCTTATGTTTTCTAAATTGGACTGAAATGATTTATAATCTGTTGTGTTCTAAGATAATGAAAGTAGCTAATTTTATGCTAAAATGTAATCATAAGAAGTACAGGTTGAATCATGTAGAATTGAAATGTGTTCTTTAAAATGATAGAGTGTGTCTTCTGTCATCTTTATTTAAAACTAGCTGTTGACTTTAGGAATATGGTACACTTTTTAATTTCATTGGTTATTTGGCCAAAAAAATTTAGTCTTTTACTTTTGATTTGTTGAACATGGGTCACTTACCTCCTTTTCTCCCTACTCCTTGCCCCCAAGTCTCTTCTGTGACCCTTATTGATTTTAGATGTTGTCATGCAGAATTCCACCAAAGCACCTCTTAAGAGATCGAATGTTGAGAAAGTGACCAACGTGCAGATCCTGGTGTTGTTTGGCATCCTCTTGGTCATGGCCTTGGTGAGCTCAGCGGGGGCCCTGTACTGGAATGGGTCTCAAGGTGAAAATAACTGGTACATCAAGAAGATGGGTAAGTATTGGGGTGTGTTGCTTGTTGGAGTTGGACAAAACCTTTTTGGGCAATCCTTCCAAGCATGGTTTATGTGTGGTCGCCATGCCGTCCTTGTCCACCCTTTGACTATTCTGTATACTGCCAGCCTATCAAGGAGAATGAAAAATTAGGAATCACATGATGAAGTGGAGATGGACACATTTGGGGATTGTTTTATATTCAAATGGTTATTTTTAAACTATTTTTTTTAAGTTATTTTCTTAGTGGTTACTCCAGGGGTTACAATTTATGTCTTAGTTTATGAGCATCTACTTCCGATTAATAGTAATTTAGTTCCAGTATAATACAAAAATTTTACTCCAGTATAGATCTATTTCTTCCCTGCTTTATGCTGTTATTGTCATATATATTATATCTATCTATGTTATTATGCAATAAGTGTTGTAATTGATTTATATAATCTTACATCTTTTAAAGAAGCTAAAAGAAGTATACTTACAGAGTTGTTTTAACCTACTTACTTATTTACCATTTCCACTGCTCTTCATTTCTTCCTGTGGATTTTAGTTACATGTTATTTCTTTGCTTCTTTTAGCTTCATTCTGTCCTCACTCCTTTGTGCTCACATATGTACTACATCTGGATATAAGTCCAACAATGTAATTTTATAATGACATTTTTGCCATTTTTTAAATCTAAAAGAAAGGATAAAAAATATGTAATTACATTGTCTTTTATAAGTACCTATATAATTAATTACGTTTACTGCTGCCCTTTGTTTCTTTATGTGGATTTAATTACTGTCTTGTGTCACTTTCTTTTATCTTGGAGAATTTTAGTATTTCTTATAAGGCAGATTAGATAAAACAAATCTTCTTAGTTTTTGTCTTGGAATGTCTTAATTTCTCTTGTTTTGGAAGGGTAGTTTTGCTAATACAGAATTCTTGTAGAATTCTTGGTTGACATTTTTTCCTTTCAGTACTTGAATGTGCCATCCCACTACCTTCTGGCCTCCATTGTACATATGAGACGTCAGCTGTTAATCTTATTGAGTTTTTTTTTTTCCCTTGTATGTGAGACATTTTTCTATTGCTGCTTTCAAAATTATCTTTGGTTTACAATAATTTTGAGTTTATTCTTTTTGGAGTTTGTTGAGATTTTTGGATATGTATAATAATATTTTTCATCAAATTTGTGAAGCTTTCAGCTATTATCTATTTAAATATTGTTTCTGCCACATTCTCACTCCCCTCTCCTTCTGGTACTTCCATTATGTATATGCTAGTCCACTTGATGTGTCTTAACAGGTCTCTGAGGCTCTTTTTAATATTTTTTTCTTTTTTTCTTTCTGTTCTTTAGATTGGATAATCTCTATTGATCTATATTCAAGTTTGTCTGTTCTCTCCTCTGCAAGCTCAAATCTACTGTTGAGCTCCACTAGTGATTTTTTTTTCATTTGAATTATTATATATTTCAATTCCAGAATTTCCATTTGATTTTTTCTTTTAAAACTTCTGTCTCTTTATCACTATTTTCTAATTGATCAGTCATTGTCATCCTACTTTCTTTGAAAGCTTTAAACAGTTTTCTTTAGTTCTTTGAATATATGTATAATAATGCTTTGATGTCTTTGTTAGGTCCATTATTTGGGCCACCTCCTTAAAAGGCAGTTTCTGTTGCTTGTTTTTTCTTTTTCTCCCTGTTTTTCTTTCTTTCTTTTTTTCTGTATCATAATTTTTGTTGTTGTTGTTGGAAACTGGGCGTTTGAGGTAATATATTGCAGTAACTTGGCATTCTGATTTCCTCTTCCTCCTGGAGCTTGTTGTTGCTGTTTTTTGTTTATTTGATTAATGACTTGCCTAGACTCATTTGGTAAAGTCTGTTTTTTCCTGCAGTGTATAGCCTCTGATGTTACTGCTCAGTTCTATTTCCATGATTTTACCTTTTAATTTTAAAAAATGTATAGTTCGAGGTATGTAGTTATTTTTAGTACACTTGACCCATGAACAATATAGGGATTGGGGCACAACATAGCCAAAAATCTGTGTATAACTTTTGACTCCCCCCAAAACTAGTTGCCCCTCACTATCCATAGGGGATTGGTTCTAGGGCCCCCCATACATACCCAAATTCATGGATTCTTAAGTTCCTTATGTACAATGGCATAGATCAGTGCACATAGTTGGCCCTTCATGTTCTCAGACTCCCATCTGAGGACTGAAAACACTACAGGTATTTATTGAAAAAAAATCTGTGTATAAGTGGATCTGCAGTTTAAACCTATGTTGTTCTAAGGTCAACTGTATATTCATAGAATTATGCAACCCTTACCACTACCTAAATTTACAACATTTTTATCACCTCAGAAAGAAACCCTATCCTCATTAGTACTCAAAAGCCCTCTCCTTGTTTTTATGTTTAAGCTCAGATTCCTAGGGGTCAGCATAGCTTAGTGGTCAGCCAGTGACTGGTCAGAGGTTGTTCTTAAACTAACCCTTTGTTGTTTGATCTGCATGTGGCTTGGGGAATGCCTTTAATGTTTGGGAAATTTAAAAGTGCCAGTATTCAACCAGAGACTAGTAGCTCACAAGCACCTTCTCTGGTTCCTTCTAAGTATGTGCAGCCTTGTGCATGGACATGAACTTCTGGACCATGAGGGTTGAGTGTGATCTTAGTGAGATTTCTTTTGCCATCTGTTTCCATGAAACGTCATTTAATTTTTGGCTAATCTGCTGGGGTTTTTTTTTTTGTCCCTACTATTGTAAGATATTTGTCTTCCCGGATTATTAGCCACTGGGAACTCTATTATTTTTGACAGTGCCCTGGGCATGGCTTTTTTCATGCTCTGCTCCAAAAAGTGTCAGCTCTGTCAGACTGTTCCTGTCCTGGCCACTTGCCCCACTCTACAGTAGCAGCCTGCCCCACCCTGTGATAGATTTATGCAGCATGGAGCTGAGTGGGGCAAGATGAGAGCTGCTAGTTTTCATGGCCTGCCCCAACCACCCACTCAGAACAGAACTTAAGCAACATGGATATTGGGAAAAGGAGGGGGAAACTGCCTTTGGATTAAATACCCAAGGCTTCCACTTACCAAGATTGAATAGATTTTCTTGACTGTGCTTTTGAGTTTTTTTATATACTTTATGATCAGTTTCTAAGCACTTTAAATGCTTGTTTTTGACAGTTTTGTCCAGTTTTATTGCTTTTTTTGGGGGGGGGGGAGAGAAGATTTGCCAGTCTCCTTACAACAGCATTTCCAGAAAATAAATAAAATTTAATGACAATTTTTTTTTAAGAATAAATGTGAATTTTAAAATTTTGGGATATTTTCTTAGGGTAATTTTTATTCCCATCTTTCAATGTATTTTGGTTAAACTGATTTCTTTTTTTAATTATCTCATGTAAAAAACTCATACACTTTGAGCTGCCTAGGACAACTCTTACTGCCACTTTACAGATGTGAGAAATGTGATTGGGACTTCAGTTGTAACTTGCATCAAAATCCTTTGGTTTTGGTTCTTAAATTTTGGATTTGGACCACGTTATGTGTCTAGCTTCAAATGTGAAGACAGATACTTTGCATGCATACGTAGTCAGTTCCAAAATGTCATGGTCTGGGTAAATAACATGGACACTATCTTAGGATACAGGCTTTATGGAGACTGGTGTTTAAATTGCTCAGTTAATGTCAAACTCCAGTATTAGCTGCATGATTTACAGTGGAAAAATGTTTTTTTCACCTCACCCATAATGCTTTCTGCCTTCTGGTAAAATCTGAGTAGCTCTGGTAAAAGCCATCACACTTCACATTTACATTGTCACTGTTGAAGCTTTGACTTCAGTTCAAAGAACTTTCCCCTTTGATATGCAAAGAACTTGTTCCTCTTTTCCCTCTCCTGGTCCCTCTTCCTCTCCAATCTGACCCTGACCCTGCTTTGGGTTCTATTCCTTAAGCGTCTTATTCCATCTTTAGGGATCTTGTTCCATCAAGATATTCCTTCTTTTATCTTCAATAAATGGGCTCAAGGCTTCCCGCCTGCCTCCCTCTCTTCACCTGTTTTACCTATTCACACATTTTTTTCCATTTTACCAATTCCTTGGAGTATCCCAAATATACTCATACCTTAATGAGGTTGTAGATATTCCTTACAACTACTTGAAATGTCCTCTTTTCTACATCCTTTTTAGTTAGCTGTCTTCTGTCTGTCCTCTAAAACTTGACTAAAATCTCTATTCTTCTGGATGGTCTTTGGGTGACCATGCCTTCTCATTAAAAAATCTTCTGTCCTAGTTTCTGCCATGCCCTAGGACTTCGCTTTAGTAGATGTATCCTGCTGCATGGTCGCATTGAGGGGTATGCTTCTTCCGCTTACTCCCCTCCCCCACCACCTCCTACTAGAAGCCAGCTCTCTATTGGAAGAGATTATGTCTTAGCAGTGTTTGTATTCATAGTTGGTGCCCCATAGTAGGTGCTCAATAACTACTCTACCTTGAATCTCTAAATGTATACATAAGCTGGTAGATTTTTTTTTTTTTTGTGAACAACTTTTAGAAAAATTCCAAAATGATAAAATAAAAGGAAACTTAATGGAGACCAACTAAAGCTATATAGATATTCTGGTTTTCTTCCACAGACTCGAGCTCGGATAATTTTGGATATAACTTGTTGACTTTCATCATCTTGTACAATAACCTTATTCCCATCAGTTTGCTGGTGACTCTTGAGGTTGTGAAATATACTCAAGCCCTTTTTATAAACTGGGTGAGTATCACAGCAGTGTTTAACAGTTGAGCTGCCGGAGAAATGTCAACCACTTTTCTAATACTCTCTCAGAGCTTTACCCACTTAATTGAGCTCCCAGAAAAGGAAGCAGATAGTTAATTGATTACTCGATCTGGAAGGTAAACAGCCAGATTAATTGTGCAGGGATCTCTGGCCAGGGTGTCCCTGAGCCAGTGAGAGCAGTCACTAGTTACCGAACATTTCCACCTCTTGGTCTATGAAATGGGGAGAAGGGTCGTACCGATTCAAGGAATTTTTGTGAGGATTAAGTGGGAAAATGGAGACTGAGTGCTTAACAGATGCTTGTCTTCTGGTGAGTGGGGATGAAATGGCTGCAATTGCTGTTCATGCTCTGAAGTCTAATTAGTGCTGACAAAAGGTCTCTTAAGTGTGTCTATATCAGTGTTTAGTATATATCAAAATTCATGGTGACAGTAAACTTGGATTCCATTGTAAGAGTGGAAGTGGAATTTTTATGGAACTGCCATTGTCATTAGGCACTTGACTTCAGCATCCTGTATATATAGACTGGGTGCTTTCATGTGCATTTTTATTTGATTTTCATAACAGTCCTGTGAATGAGGCATTAGCTGAGCTCAGATGTATGGGTTAGAGTATCTCTGAAATGATCATCTTGAGATAAAATCTTCTGTATGTAAATACCATGTTTTCTCCTTGTATCACAGTGCTTTTCTACACGAATTGCCACTGTATTTTTGCCCCAATATTAAAAGTTAACATTTATATTACCTGTTTTTAATCTAAATGAAAGATTAATGGTATATATTTTCTGACGAGCCCCCTCTTTTCTCTCTCAGGACACAGATATGTATTATCTTGGAAATGACACTCCTGCAATGGCCAGGACATCAAACCTTAACGAAGAGCTTGGTCAGGTGAGAGCCTCTTTGGGAACTTTGATGACGGTGACACAAGTGTGAGGGGAGAATAGTATTAGAAGAACCATGGAGAGATTTTTGCAGACATACTTCTCTATGAATGTGGTTTTGGTGTCTGAAATGCTATATAGTACTTGAAAGTATTATTAGATATAAATGTTAATCAGTTTTGGCTTACATTTTGTAGCATAAACAGATCTTATCATCTGCAAAAATTTTAAACAATAAGTAAGATACTCAGATATTGGATAACCCTGCAAAACATGTGGGGGATAATATGATGGACATGTATCCATCAAATCTCTTACATGTTTCAGATTTTGTTTCTGGAATTTCCAGAGAACTGGTGTCTTCCTCACACCTCCCCACCCAATCATCCCTGAACCCTAATTGCCTTTACTGAGTTGTGATTTGTATTATGTTTTTGTGTTATGTTGAAATTACTACAAGGAATAACCTCTTTTGGATGCATTCAAATTAAAGATTATAAATTTCATTTTATGTCTTATTTAAACCTCTCAACTACATTATGAGGTGGGTGTTATATACGAGGTCAGACAATTAAGTTTATGAACTCATCCTAGAAAAAGTGCTACATACCTCATTGCTGAATATCACTATGGTGACCTTCGAAGTACTCCCCTTGGGAAGCCATGCACTGATGCCAGTGCGTAGTCCACCCTTCAAAGCAATTTTGGAACTCTTTTTCTGGAATGGCCGTCAGAGCTGTCATCATATTACCCTTGATGTCCCGAATGTCATCAAAATGTCTTCCTTTTAATATTTCCTTTATCTTCAGGTAAAGAAAGTAGTCACTGGGGGCCAGATCAAGTGAATAGGGAGGGTGTTCCAATAGTTATTTGTTTACTGGCTAAAAACTCTCTCACAGACAGTGCTGTGCAAGCTGATGCATTGTTGTGATGCAAGAGCCATGAATTGTTGGCAAAAAGTTCAGTCGTCTAACTTTTTCACTCAGCCTTTTCAGCACTTCCAAATAGTAAACTTGGCTAACTTGTCCCGTTGGTACAAATTCATAATGAATAATCCCTCTGATATTAAAAAAAGTTTAGCAACATCATTGCAACAAGTTCGTGAACTTAATGGTCAGACCTCATAAATCAGACTACATTCGCCTCCTCTTTGAACTCTATTCTAGTTTTCCAGGTAAAGTTAATTTATCTCTTTTCTACGTCTCCATAACAGTCTTTCCAAACATAAATACAGTAAAATGAGAGACATGATAGTGATGCACTGTCTATTTCCCTCTTGAGACTTTTGAGCCCCTCAAGGGTATGGATGCACTTAAGACAAGGTCTTTGGTTTTTCTGCACAGTGCTCAGTCTGTCATGTTCTCAGGTGCCATTGAACTGGACTTGAATAATTGAAGGGTTGAAAGTGCTCAAGAAGCACCCAGCATGAAATCATTCATCCTTTTTGGGCATATGGGGAAAGTTTGCATGGGAAAGTAGTTTTGAATTGGAAGTTAAAATTCAATAGGCAGAGTGATATCTTGATAATTTCTTACTATAAAATTTTCATTTTTTAATATTTTGATTTAATCTTTTAGTTGTTAAAAAAGAGGCAGAGAGAAATATTGCTTATTAGAAGGCCGATTCTACTGAATTTTTATACCTTTGGACTTCCTGCATATAAAACTCATTATTTATAGTTAAAGTATTAATTACCCATAATGAACTAATTTTTATATTTCTATGTAATAGTTGATTTAATATATGACCTAAATATTTGTACTATTTAGGAGTGATAATTATCTTTTAAAAAAATCTTTCTTTCCTTAAAGGCCATTCATTGATTACTTTAAAAATAATTTGCAGTGTGTTTGCTTATATTGTATTATTAAGAAAAAGTACAGAGTAAACAATTCATGTTATTAATCCATCTTCTGTAAAACAGTAAAACATGGCTTCCCTTTGGGAACTTTGGAATACACCTAGCATGCAGCTACAGTCATGAGCCCTCTTTAGAAAACCACTAAGAAACTGGAATTTTTACTGGAGACAATTCTGTTAATTACTCCCTCTCACGGATCCCTGAGATAATTTCCCAGAATGTTACACATAGAATGATGTTATATCTCTCCTGGTCAAACCCTTTATTTCATAGATGTGGAAATTGAGGCCAAGAAGGATGAGGTGACATTTCCAGAATACACATGACTAGTATCCAGAGCCTGACCTGAATTGTTTCCTCCTGAGTTCTTTTCCCTCCTCCCTGTCACATTATCCACCTATGAGAACAGAATTCGCACAGCACATGAGCATTTGGGGTTCATCTCTTTTGCATTCACTCAGTCATGTCAAAATGGTTGACTTGTTGATCTCCTCCAGAAATTTCTCTTTTTACCTTTTTATATTGAAAGCCTGATGTATTAAATCTCTAAAACATTGTATCTTGGAAACTTACATATTGGGTTGTCGGAAAAGTCATGACGCATGTTTGCGACAGATGGCACTAGTTCATTTTTGGAAGTACTAGAGTCATTTGTATCTGTGTTATTCCTATGCCGTTTCACAGCTGACAGTTCTAGCTTCAGTGTGAAAAAAAATTGAGTGATTTGGTTGAGTTTTGGAGATTTTACAACAAGTTGAAGATGGAAGACCAAACTGTGCATTTTTGCCATATTTTACTGTTTTACTTCCATAAAGGGAAGAATGCGCATCAAGCTTGTGAAAAGTTGTGTAAAGTTTATGGTAACAGTGCTCTACAAGAACGTCAGTGCAAACGATGGTTCACGAAATTCCGTGCTGGTGATTTTGATCTCAACGATGCTCCTCGGTCAGGGAGGACCACCGAGGTTGATGACGACAAAATAAAGTCATTGATTGAGAAAACCCATGTCACACGACATGAGAGATTGCAAAAACATTGAACATCCATTATTTAAGCATTCATGACCACCTGAAGAAGATGGAATATGTAAGCAAGCTTGATATTTGGGTTCCGCATGAACTCAAAGAAGTTCATTGCATAAACATCTGCAATATGCTCATTAAACGTGAGGAAAACGATCCTTTTTTGAAGTGACTGATAACTGGTGATGAGAACTGGATTGTTTACAACAATGTGGTGCACATACGGTCTTGGTCCCGACATGATGATTCGCCTCAAATGACATCAAAAGCAGACACATTCATCAGAGGAAGGTTATGCTCTCAGTGTGGTGGGATTTTAAAGGTGTCGTGTTTTTCAAGCTCCTACCAAGGAACCAAACAATCAATTTGAATGTGTACTGTTGGCTATTGGACAGTTTGAATGAATCCATCATCCAGAAACGTCCAGAGCTTGTTAATTGTAAAGGAGCTGTGTTGCATCACAACAACATAAGACCACACACAAGTTTCATCACCCGTCAAAAATTTTTGGAGCTTGGATGGGATGTGTTGCCACACCCACCATACTTGCCTGACCTTGCACCGTCAGACTTCCACTTATTTCACTGTCTTCAAAACTCCTTGTGTGTTATAATGTTCTATTCGGATGAGGCTGTAAATCAGCACCTTGTTCAGCTTTTTGCAAATAAAGACAGGTCCTTCTATGAACAAGGAATTGTGAAGCTCACTGAAAGATGGCAAAAGGTTATCGAAGAAAATGGGCACTATATCATTAATTAATCTCTGTTCTTTATATAAATAAATGACCTTTGAAAAACATAGACAAAATGTGTCATGACTTTTCTGACAACCCAATAATTGATAGCAAGTACATGCTGCCTTCATGTAATGTTAATTGTGATAGTTATTGAGAAGCTTGGTGTTTGTTCTGTGCTGTTTCAGGATATGGCTTCTTACTCCAGCTAGGGGACTGAGTCTTAAAAAGAAATATTGGGGGGTTCCCAAAGTCTGAACTTGTTGCTTTGACATATTGGACATTAGAACAATACTGTATGAGATAATGGGACTATCTGGAAGAATGATGTATGTCTCTGAGATGCCGTGTTGTTGGACTCAGTGCTTACACTTAGGGATCTAAAATGGCTCCAGGGCTGTCACTGAGCCTCTTTGCACATTTCCGCACAATTGAACTCTGTAATTGGTTGTTTAAAAGGTTTCTAAGCGGCCTAAGCATTACATATATTAATTTTATACTATATAATTATTATATAAAATATATAGGTAATTTATAAAATATATTTTGCTTGATTGAAGGAAATTTACCTTTTAAAATTCATACCAATTTTGAAAAACATAGAAGGAAAGACTTGATTTATTGGCCTTTGCATCTTATTACATTCCTGATGTATGTTTCTCCTGTGTTTTGATTTAGGTAAAATACCTATTTTCTGACAAGACTGGAACTCTAACATGCAACATCATGAACTTCAAGAAGTGCAGCATTGCTGGAGTAACCTATGGGTAAATGTGTTTGTCACTTATTGAAAATTTGATTTGTATTCTTCCAACAAAATAATTCATTTTTAGCTGCTTTCTGATATTTTATAAGGGATTTAAATAAGTAATTACTACTGAATGTGTTTAAAACTTAATGGGTCCCAACTTTGAACAGTTAAAACATGGTTGATTTCTCCAAATATTAGCCTAGTGGTAAATCTCAGGGAATCTATAAATTTATATTTCTAATGAAGTAATTATAAATTTCTTACTCATGTTTTGATCTGAATGACTGTTTTTTGTTGTTTATTGAGGTATAACTAATGTGTAACATTATATTAATTTCAGGTGTACAACATAATGATTCAATGTATGCATATATTGTAAAATGATCACCACCATATGTCTAGTTAACATCCATCACCATACATAGTTACAAAATTATTTTTTCTTCTGATGGAACTTTTAAGATTTACTCTCTTAGCAACTTTCAAATATGCAATACAGTATTATTAACTATAGTCACAGTGCTATACATTACATTCCATGACTTATTTATTTTATAACTAGAAGTTTATACCTTTTGAACCTCTTAACCTCTTTTTCTCACCCCCACCCCCTGCCTCTGTCAATCTGTTCTCTGTATCTATGAGCTTGTTTTTTGTTGTTGTTGTCATTGTTTAAGATTTCCCTTAAGTGAGATCATACAGTATTCATCTTTCTCTGACTTATTTCATTTAGCATAATACCCTGTAGGTCCATTCATGTTGTCACAAATGGTTTTATGACTGAATAATAATACTCCATTGTATGTGTACACACACACACACACACACACACACACACACACACACACCACATTTTCTTTATCAATTTGTCCTTTGATGTACACTTAGGTTGTTTCCATAGCTTGGCTATTACCAATAACGCTGCAATGGACATGGGGGTGCATATATCTTTTAGAATTAGTATTTTTGTTTTCTTCAGATAAATACCCAGGAGTGGAATTGCTGGGTCATAAAGTAGTTCTATTTTTAATATTTTGAGGAACCTCTGTAGTGTTTTCCATAGTGGCTGTACCAATTTGCAATCCCATCAACAATGCACAAGGGTTCCCTTTTCTCCACATCCTCACCGACACTTGTTTGTTGATTTATTGATGATGGCCATTCTGACAGGAGTGACGTGGTATCTCATTGTGGTTTTGATTTGGATTTCCACGATGATTAGTGAGGTTGAGCATCTTTTCATGTACCTGTTACCATCTCTATGTCTTTGGAAATATATCTATTCAGATCTTCTGCCCATTTTTTTTTTTAAGATTTTTATTGGGGAATTGGGGGAAGGGGAACAGAAAAATTGCTGTCCTTTTGTTTTTCAGTCTAGTTGTGGAGGACATTGCTTCACTGGCCCATGTTGGTATTATCATTGTGCTCTTCCCTGGTGAGGTAGCTCGGTCACCGGCCTCTGAATAGCCGCTCACAGCGGCTGCTGGCTGCTCACACTGGCTGCTCACGCTGGCTGCTGGCTACACACGGTAGCCCATGGCAACCCACTGCAGCAGGGGTTGCAGCCTACACCATCGCCGGCGACTCACGGCAGCCCAGCTCCAGGTTGACCTGTTGTTCAGCATCTTAGCTGTAGAGGGCAGTGTCACTGGCCCTCATATGTGGGATCCGAACCTGGGCCCTCTGGCATCCCAAGCCAGCTCTTAACCAATGCGCCACTTGGCTGGCCCTTCTGCCCATTTTTAATGGGATTTTTTTCTTTCTATTGAGTTGTATGAGCTCCTTATATATTTTGGATGTTAGCACATAATCAGGCATATGAGTTGCAAATATTTTCTCCCATTCAGTAGCTTGCCTTTTCATTTTGTTGATTATTTCCTGTACTCTGCCAAAGCTTTTCAGTTTGATGTAGTTCCATTTATTTATTTTTGCTTTTGTTGCTTTTGCTTTTGGTATCAGATCTAAAAACCATAACCAAGACCAATGTCAAGGAGCTTGCTGCCTACATTTTCTTCTAGTAGTGTTATGGCTTCAGGTCTTACATTCAAGTCTTTTAACCTATTTTGAGTTAATTTTTGTGTATTGTGTAAGATAGTGGTGTAATTTCATTCTTTTACATGTGGCTGTCTAGTTTTTCCAAAACCATTTATGGAAGAGACTGTCCTTTCTCCATTGTTTATTTTCTTGGCTTCTTTGTCATGATTTAATTGACCATATAGACGTGGGTTTATTTCTGGGCTCTCTATTCTATTCCATTGATCCAATGTGACTGTTTTTATGCCAATCACATACTCTTTTGATTACTTTACTTCTGTAATATAGTTTGAAATCAGATAGTGTGAAGCCTCCAGCTTTGTTCTCATTTCTTAAGATTGTTTTGGCAATTTGGTTCTTTTGTGGTTCCATACAAACTAGGACTGCTCTATTTCTATGAAAAATACCATTGAAATTTTGATAGGGATTGCATTGAATCTATAGATTGCTTTAGGTAATATGGACATTTTAACAATATAAATTCTCACTATACATGAACATGGACTATCTTTTATTTGCATCTTCAATTTCTTTCATTAATGTCCTATTGTTTTCAGTATCCAGGTCTTTCACCTCCTTAGCTAAATTTATTCCTAGGTGTTTTTTTTATGCAATTTTAAATCTGATGTTTTCTTAATATCTCTTTCTGATAGTTCATTATTAGTGTATAGAAATGCAACAGATTTTTGTATTTGATTTTGTATCCTGCAACTTTACTGAATTTGGCTATTAGTTCTAAGTTTTTTGGTGGAGTCTTTAGGGCATTTAATATATAATATCATATCATTTACAAATAGTGACAATTTTACTTCTTCTTTTCTGATTTGTATACCTTTTATTTCTTTTTCTTGCCTAATTGGTCTGGCTGGGAATTCCAGCACTATGTTGAATAAAAGTGGCAAGAGTGGGCATCCTTGTCTTTTTCCTGATCTTAGAAGAAAAGCTTTCAGGTTTTCACCATTGAGTGTGATGTTAGCTGTGGGCTTTCATATATGGTCTTTATTATCTTGAGGTATGTTCCCTCTGTACCCACTGTCTTGAGAGTTTTTATCATAAATGGATGTTGAATTTTGAAAAATGCTTTTTCTGCGGTTATTGAGATGATCATATGATTTTTATCTTTCATTTTGTTAATGTGGTGTGTGTATCACATTGAGTGATTTGAAGATGTTGAACCATATTGCATCCCTGGAATAAAATTTACTTGATCATGGTGTATGATCCTTTTAATGTATTATTGAATTTGGTTTGTGAATATTTTGTTAAAGGTTTTTGTTGAGGATCTGTGTTCATCAGGGATATTGTTCTATGATTTTCTTTCTTGTGGTGTCCTTGTCTGGTTTTGGTATCACGGTAATGCTGGCCTCATAAAATGAGTTTGGAAGTGTTTCCTGCTCTTCTACTTTTGGAAGAGTTTGAGAAGAATTGGTATTAAATTTTCTTTGACTTTGGGAGAATTCATCAGTGAAGCTGCCTGGTCTTGGACTTTTGTTGGGAGGTTTTTTTGATTACTGATTTAATCTTCTTCTTAATAATGGATCTGTTTAGATTTTCTATTTCTTCATGATTCAGTCTTGGTAGGTTATATGTTTCTAGGAATTTACCCATTTCTTGTAGGTTGTCTAATTTGTTGATGTAGAATTGTTTATAGTAGTTTCATATGATCCTTTGTATATGTGTGGTATCAGTTGTGATGTGTTCTGTTTCATTTCTGATTTTGAGTCCTCTCTCTTTTTTCCTTGATAAGTTTAGTTAAAAGTTGGTCAATTTCATTTATCTTTCCAAAGAACCAGCTTTTAGCTTCATTGATCTTTTCTATTATTCTTTTTAGTCTCTTTCATTTATTTCCTCTCTGATCTTTGTTATATCCTTCCTACTACCTACTTTCAGCTTTATTTGTTCTTTTTTTTTCTAGTTCTTTGCTATGTAGTTAATTTGAGATTTCTTTTTGCTTCTTGATGTATAGGCAATTATCACTATTACTTCACTCTTAGAACTACTTTTGCTGCATCCCATAAGTTTTGGTATGTTGTATGGAAATTCTCTTTTGTCTCAAACCACTTAATTTTTCTCTTGATTTCTTTTTTTAGCCATTGGTTCAGTAATGTGTTTTTTAACCTAACATATTGGTGAATTTTCCCATTTTGTTGTAATTGATTTCTAGTTTCATACCATTGTGGTCAGAAAATATGCTTGATCTGATTTTAGTCTCAAATTTATTGAGACCTAATATGTGATCTATCCTGGAGAATGTCCCATGTGTGAATGCGTATCTTTTGATCACAGTTTTGTGACTGCTCTGTTTTCGTCTCCCTCTGGCAGTCATTTTCCAGAATTGACAAGAGAGCCATCCTCAGAGGATTTCTGGTAAGTAGATTCTAGCTCTCCTTAATGCTTGATTGGGAAGGACTGTGGAACAATTTTACATTGTCATTTCTCACGTGACTATTTTGTAAATAAAAGTTTCATATATGTTATTTCAAGATAGAAATGGTAAAATTTAAATGTGAATATGATATTCAAAGTCCAGTGATACTACAGTGCTTTAACAAAAAATAGTAAGCTATTGGTCTAATAATTCCTACTTCTTAGCATAATATCTTCAAGGCTGTAGTATGCATGCTGTGTATGTTGTATGTGTCAGAATTTTATTCCTTTAGAAGGCCGAATAATGTTTCTTTGCATGTTTGTACCATATTTTGTTTATCCATTTATCTGTTGATGGTCATTTGGGTTATTTGCACCTTTTGGCTAATGTGAATAATGCTGCTGTGAACATTGGTATATGATAAATCTCTGCTTTCAATTATTTTGGGTATGTATATAAAAGTGGGATTGCTGGGTCATGTGCTTATTCTGTTTACCTGTTTGAGGAAATACCAGACTGTTTTTCATAGTAGCTCTACTATTTTGCATTTCTGCCAGCAATACACAATTCTTCCACATGCTCGAACCATTTGTTAATGAATTAATTTAAAAATATAATAGCCATCCCAATGGGTATAAATGTTATCTCATTGAGGTTTTGATTTATGTTTCCCTTAGGATTAGTGATGATGTCTGCTCATGGTTTAAAATTTATACACTAACAAAAGTGATTAGTAGGGCTGTGTGTGTAGAGGGGACAGTGTGGTTGATGACCTACTTGCTTTCTTGTGAGATGATCAGCCAAGACCTACTATTTCATTAGAGAATCCTGGATGTCTGTGTCTGTGGGTCTTTCTTGTGAGCTGATCAGTCTTCTTCTCATGAGAAGGACTCTTCAGTTTTCTGCCAAGGGCTATAAATCTGGCTGCAGTTATTATGGGAACTGAGTGGAAGCAGAGAGCTGGTGATTGTACCTTTCAGTGTAGGAATGTCGGACAATTAAGTTCTCAAACTTTGCGCCATGCACTTACATGGTGGAAAGTTCGTGAACTTAATTGTCTGACTTCTACTCACCTGTGTGCTTGGTGTCCCTGTGGTTTAACCTCTTTAAAGGATAACCGTTCTATTTCTTTCTGGGTGCAGATGATTCAGTTGCCTGGCTGCATGGCGTGAGGGAGGGTTCTTGCAGGCTGATTCTCCCTCAGATGGGTTTGGAACCTGTCCTGTTTTCCACCTTCTCTTTGTCTTGTAGGTACCTCGTACTACTGTTTCCTCAGCTTTCACAAGGTTCTGCTAGGGATATCAGCTTGCATTTTAGGTGCTTCCCTTTGTAAGCTATTGGTTTCTGTTTTCTCTGCTGTACTGAACTCTGACATCTATTCAGAGTTCAGAATGACGTCAACTTGTTCCATTGTCGTTGTCCTGAAGAAAGGGTTTCAAGAAGGAGTGGATATACATGAATATACTTAATCCTTCACATTTTCTTCAATGTGATGGCACACAGCCATCATAACAAGTTTCCTTTCACATAATTACTCGCCTCCTTCTCTCTCCTACATCCGAGCCCTGGCCATTAATGATTGCACAGATACAATGCAGTAATTCCTCTTACTGCACCTGCTTTGAGTAGGCACGCTCGGCATTTTTTCCTGGTAGAAATTATACAGAGACCAGCTAAAATGACAAAGTCATGGTGTTAATCCTCGCCTCTGTTTCTTCTCCTTATAACTATGTTGTTGTTTATTATAACTTATAAAATATTTTATAGTAAGGTTAAAGATTTTCTGTTTTGAGGTTTGAAATAATATAGAATATTCCAAATCTTTAAAAGTTTAGTGTAAACCCTATAGGCTATTTAGATGTGGTTCTTCTTGAACACAGATTCTTACTAGGTTCAAGTTATCTCAAAGAAACTTTTAGAAATTTTTAAAAAAGATTATATTGGGAAATTGGGGTGGGAACAGCGTTGGGGAATCGTAGAAGGGGAACAGACAAGTTGCTGTCCTTTTGTTCTTCAGTCTAGTTGTGGAGGACGTTGCTTCACTGGCCCATGTTGGCATCATCATTGTGGTCTTCCCGGGTGAGGTAGATCGGTCGCCAGCCACTGGACAGCCGCTCATGGCGGCTGCTGGCTGCTCACGCCAGCTGCCAGGCACTCACAGTAGCTGCCGGCCAGCCCCACTGCAGCCTACTCCGTCCCTGACAATTCATGGCAGCCCAGCTCCAGGTTGAGCTATTGTTCACCATCTTAGCTATAGAGGGCGCAGCGTCACTGGCCCATGTGGAATCTGAACTGGTGGCCCTGCTCCTCAGAGCTCATGCTCCCAAGCCAGCTCTTAACCAACACGCCACTCGGCTGGCCCTTAAAGGAACTTTTGAACTACATACATATTTTCTGTCCTCTCTTACAGCCGAATGCCTTGTCCCACAAGTGATTCATGTGACTTCGATGATCCCAGGCTCTTGAAGAACATGGAGGATCATCATGTAAGGCCACCATTTTGCTTCTAGGACATTAAATGGCTTCTAGGACATTAAATGGCACTTTTATTTAGGTATATGGGGAGTGTCTTGAGAGTTGCAATTTTGGAGCCTGGGGAAGAGGTACAGTCTCATTTTTATGGTGTTAGTACTTCTGGGAAGTAACCTTAAACAAATGCTTTATGGTTAACATGTATCATAAGTTGCTATAAAGTGAATTAAATATGTGGTGAAGTTATAAAGTAGCACATCAAGATTAAGAGAAGTCTTACCCCATAGAATTCTCTAACATTTCAGGTTTCTGTTGCTTTATAAATAAGACTTCTGCAGTACTATTTCTTTGGAGTTGTAAATTTAAGAGGTTTTTGAAAATTTTGAAAAGTAATTGTAATATCCTTTGACTAGGATAATTTAGGAAACAAAAGTAAGATATAATAATCTGTAACATTTATAGCGCCCTACTATGTGCCAAACATTTGACATATATTTCCTTTAGCACTTGAATCACCCCAGAGACGTGATAGGAAGTTGCATAGAAAGATTGACTTGGCCAAGAGTTACCCAGCAAACAATGTAGAAATGAAACTCATATCTTAAGTCTGTTTAATTCTTAACTATAACATCACACTATCACAATTATTGTAACAAGCCAGGATGAACTGCACCATCATATAAATTCATTTTTTAAAGGATAGTCTGAACAAAAAAACCAACTTAGAAAAGTATTCAATGATCAAAGCATTTCACTATCACTTTAGTCCATATAAATTAGATTTGATATTATTAATTTTTTTTCTGAAAAAAATTTTAGTTTTAAAATTAGGTAAACTTGAGCAAAATTAAATCTTCATCTTTCCAAAATTTTGTTAAGAGATAGATATATTTTAAACTTTCTCTGAATTTTCAGCAAGGAAATTTCCTTTTCTCTATTGCAGTTAGAGTCCATTTGTGAATGCTAAGACCTTCCCACAGTGGTTCTCAAATATGAGTGTGGAAGGCAGCTATATCCACGGGCTGGGATGCAGACATTCTGCCCCAGCCCCTGGTGGTGCTGATGAAGTGGTCCCAGACTGCACACAGGATGCTGCTGAAGTCCATGCTCTGTGTCACAGTCACAGACATTGATGTGGTCCTTTCCTGGATTTTGTCATGAGCGGTAGATCCAGCTCCTAGGCTAGAGGTTCACCAAGCAGAAGAATGGCATTTCAGAAGAACCTTCTCTGGAGGCACGTAGTTTTAATCAAGGATGTCAAAGAAACGAGTGCACAGTGGGGACTTACTTTCTGAAAGAGGACTCAAATAGCCTCGAATTGTGTTCAGGTTGAAGGTAATAATGAAGGTGGTTGCCTGAATGTGTCTGTTCAAGTTGGGATGATGAATGGGAAAGGAGAAAGTGGAAGGGGGACAGATAAGCTTAGGAAACTGCTCTTAGTCTAATTCACAGAGTTTGTTTTCCTAGCAAAGATCAACAGGTGAAAATGCAGCAGAGCAGGCGAGATGAGCAAAATGTGCTGAGTACTGAGAATGCCAGTGTTGGCTTCAGAATAGCAGTAAACTACTGGATCCCTGTTTAAATGAGAGACATTTATTTATTCATTCACTCATCTAGCAAACAGTGGAAATGCCTAGTTTATATCAAACCCTCTGTTAGGTACTAGGGGTAGAGATGAATAAAAACACACTCAGGGGATTTCTATTGATTGGGGAAATAGACATGTAAAAAAGAGCCATTGGACACCTTTGCATCCTAAGGGTAGGTATGATGTGACTCCCTAGAAAAGTGATGTTGTTTTGCATACATAGAGGAGCTTGATCTCTTTGGTGGAGGTTATGGCTACCATAACTGTTGAATTGTGGGCAGTGTGGCCACTCGCACTGAGTTACGTATTTGCATGGATCTAAATGTGGGCTGGCATAGAAACCCAGTGGCCAGGGGCAAATCCTCTTTTGAAGAAGAGATCTGTAGGGTCTCTTAGGAGACCCCCTGCTGCTGTGATCCCAGTGTTAGAAACCTTTAAATACTTAGCTCCGTTAATTTATGTACACATACAGATATTGTCTCCAAAGCTGAACCCACATTTGTGTGTGCTGGGTTTTAAATGGCTTTTGATCATTGACCACATGCTCTTGAGCCTGTCCTCTTATGACATCTGAGTGGAGACGGAGCATAAATAAGGATCCTTGAGTGAGCATTTCCTGGCCTAGGGTCAATGGCATGCATTTTAGGAAGAAACCCCCTTCTTAGAGAAGTTAGTGAACTTCTTTTTCCTTCCTTGCTTTTCTCCTTCCCTTTGACTCTCCTGAGCCCAATTTCCTTTTCTAGTGTGATGGCCAGTGAGAGTAGGGGCAGATGCAGCCCTTATGCAAAGGAAGCCCTAACTTAGGGAGATTGTCATTAAGCATTGATGAAAACATGGGGACTTGTAAGGATATTTTATTAATATGGATACTCAACAGTTCATTAAATGCTTAATGAGGCCATGGATTGGGGAATTTATTTTCTATTTCTCAGTAAAAGCCTACTAGCCTATGTTGAACATTTTTTTTCTAAAGTTCTCCTGAATCCTTGAAGCCTTCTGGGGTATTCTTCCTCTTGGCTACTGCATTAATTAAGCCCTTTGATGTTTAGCATCTAGCTCTACTATAAATAATGAAGACTATAGGCTCCAATATTTTTTTTCTTTGGGAAGATGTGGGATTGGATTAAATACCAGGGGTGCCCAAAAATGTATACAAATGACTTGTAGTCAACTTTTGTTATTGGTTTATATCAAGTATTACAATTTTAATACAGTTTTTTCCTTTCTTAAAATGTGTATACATTTTTTTTGCACCCTCTGTATACCCAATGGATGTTTTTAAACATTTTAAATACAGAGCCTGTTAGAGATCACTTGGTTATTTTGCCAAAATAGGTGAGGATAGAGAAGAAACATTTTAGGAGGTTAGACTATGATAGCCCACATTCTTATCTAAATTGTCTTGGGGCCATTGACTAAAATTAAAGCATTTGAACTAAGAAAGCCCTTACTTCCTTCCCAAGGGAGTACCTCCATCTGCTACAGAATTTCCGTTTTTCCTGGGTCATCATTTCTGATTTTCTGGGTCTTTCAGGACTGTGTTTTAAGCTTTGTGTTGGCCAATAGCCAAGATAGAATTTGCCTCTCAGAGAATCAACTATGGGAAATTTCAAGGAACAATTCATGTGGCCCATTAACTACATTGCTAACCAGTGACTTTCTATTTGTGGGATAATTTCTCAATTTGCTGCAGAAGAACACGTAACTTTTCTTTGAATTATTATGCATGGGACTTTTTAACTTGAATCTTCAAGAAGAAATTATTTATATATGTATATTATTAATATATTTTATAGCTAAAAATTGGAATGTAAGACAATTTTAGACATGTATGTTTTCTGCAATTTTTTATATACATCAAATACATTGAACATATTCATTTCTAGATATATAAAGCATTGTTTGCCGATTAAAATCTGTTAACTGAAGGACAAATATTGTATGATTATGCTTATATGAGGTACCTAGAATAGAGACATAGCAGAACAGAGGTTATTAGGGGTGAGGGGGAAGGGAGAATGGGGAGTTATTATTTGATAGGTACAGCGTTTGTTGAGAAGATGAAAAAGTTTTGGGAATAGATGGTGGTGATAGGCACACAGCATTGTGAATATATTTAATACCATTGAATTTTACACTGACAGATGGCTAAAATGATAAATATTATATGTATATTTTTGGACAATTTCTTTTATCTTCTAAAATACACACACACACACACACACACACACACACACACACACACACACCTGCATACATTCTCCAATAATCAGTCAGTTCTTTGAAGTTATAAATTGCTTTTCCTCTTGGAAGTTAACAGAAAAAAAGTTTATTTTCAAACATGGAGCACTTGTCTAAACCTATTACAAACATCTTATCCATAGGCTTCAAATTAAGTTTGTCTCCTTTCCCTAATTGATTGTAGAATGTCAGGTTAAGCAGAGAACCAAAGGTAGATTAATTTTGTCTTAGGGATATTTTTTGATCTTTAAGAATTTTGTCTGGCCTACCACTTGAGGTGGAAACTTAATTTGAGTGTGTGTGCAACACTTCTTTATAATTCTCAGAGAATATTTCAGTACTAAGTATATTTATTTAACATAAAATCAAAGCCCCTCTTTCGTGTTATTTCATCATGGGACAAGGTGACATGCAGGACTTGCTAGTTCTCCGATGCAGAAGGCACCCTTGAATTAAAGCTCAATTCTCAAATTAAAGTGCTTTGGGATAAAATCTCTTAACCATTTCTGTGGTGTAGGCCTTGGGGAATTTGTAAATTCTCCAATCTAATTTATTCAGTTTCATTGAACTATAATTTAATGTACATTTTCTTCCCTGAAGGCTGATAAGTAGCCATCTGAGCAGGCATGATCTGCTTCCATACAATTGCTCTTATCACATTAACAGGTCAGAGGAGAAACTAAAAATGGTTAAAATACTAGACACTATTCATTTGTAACTAAGAAAAAAAGGAAAGAAAAGAAGCTAACTCCACACACAAAAAAACAAGCAAACACAGGGTTGTTTCCTGGATGTGAAAATACAAATCTATCTCAAATTTATGGTCAGTTGCCTATTTAAAAGTGAAACATTAATGATAGTGGCTTTAAAATAACCTCAGGACAAGGAAGGCTGGTGTCACCCCTGTCTTTGAATGTCATTTTAAAAGTAGTAGACCATGCAGATAGGTGAGAATTAAACAAGTATATGTATTGGAGAGGAAAAGAGAAAAGTAATCATTTGTGGATGATGTAATTGTCTGCCTTGAAAACCTGGGAGAGTCACCTGCAGCTCAGAGAGCTAGTAATAGGTCAGTTATAACTGGATATTAGATTAATTTATAAAATTCAGTGTTTGTTTACTTACATATTGACAATAAACTCCAGTAAAATATAATAGAAATAAGATTATATTCATAATATAAAAAGCAATAGACAAAATGCCTAGTACAATGCCTCATGTATAGTAGGCATGCAGATTTTTTTGAATGAATAAACATTATTAATATTAGTAAATTAATAATAAATTAATGAATAAAAATATGCCAAGACTTATATTTAGAAGCCTTTAATACATAGGAATACATACTGTATTCTTAGATGGGTAAACAGTATTAACATGTCATTTCCCCACTAATTATAAATACAGTCTAATCCCAATGCAATAATGTAAGGATTTTGTGTGTGTGTGTGGGGGGAGGGTGAAGAGATGTATTAAATACATATCTAGGACAGTTCTGTTTTTATTTTTTTAAGAAGGTGATAGGTGAGCGATGCACTGCCATACAGGTGAGTTAGCGAGCAGACGTGATGTAGATCCAATGCCAGCGTGGTGGCCTGGAAAGACCAGGGACTCGTGTATGGGGCCAGTTCTCGCTACAGCGATCCAACATGGATTTGAGTGCCTTCTGTGTGCTTAGCCTGGGTGTACATTTGTGAGGAAGGCTGACAACCTGCTCTCCCTCCCGGACCTTACAGAGCAGGGAGGAGGCCTGTGGGCGGCAGGGGTGTTTGAAGTGTTAGGAAAGGATGAGCGAGGCAGGGTGCTGGGGGAGGCCCAGGAGGGGGCACTCACTTCCTCCTTGTTCTCTCCTGACCAAATGAGCTAGCAGGTCAGGTGCGATGTTCCATGACGGGTGACAACAGTCTTCACAGGTGAACGGACTGTTCAACGGAAGCCCGGAGGATGAGTAAATAAAAGCATTGGCCGAAGCAGGAGGGGGCAGTGATGGAACAGTTGGAAAGGATGAGCCTTGTTTGAAGAACTGCAGACCTGAGTGGCTGGTAGAGAGGCCAAGAGGACAACGGTAGGAGATGGGGCTGGCTAGATGGTGAGCAGGTGCCAAATCACAGGGGACCTGGAGTCCACACTGTGATCTCGACCTCTGTTCTAAAGAGAGCAGGAAGCCATCCTAGGGTTTTAGGCAGAAGACTTGACTCCAACTCTGATGTATGTCAGTGGTGTTTTACCAGATGGATTAACTCAGTGTGCTGTTTGTAGCCCACAGCCCCTTGCATACAGGAGTTCCTCACCCTCCTGGCCGTGTGCCACACCGTCGTTCCTGAGAAGGATGGCGACAACATCATCTACCAGGCCTCCTCCCCAGGTGAGACCTCTTGGCCGATGTGCCTTAATGTCCCCTTCGCTGGAGACTTGGGTGTTTGAAGTTATATGTGGGAGATGTGGTGCTACAGCCTGCCCCACAAAGTCCCCACTGTACCTCTGGTCTCACACAGATGACAGGCTGTGGCTGTAAGCGTTCAAGTCATAGAAAGCTGGTGCTGGCTCCTCCTGGCTCTGTAGTAACATTTGGACCACAGCAGGAGGCCCCGCTCCATCTTACATTTCCTAGCAGAGGTCATGACGCTGAGCAGTGCCTCAAGGGAGAGCGGTGTTGCTTCTTTGTTCACCAACCAGCCCTCATGGAATTTCCAGCTACTGGGGAAGCTGTGTCCTGCAGCGCTGACTCTTTAGCCTCCCATCCTGGTGCTCTGTGAACCCCACAGTACAGGATAAAACAGTGCCTGGCTCAGAGGAGAGGTTTTGTCAGAAAGTCATGTGACTATCACTAAAGTTCATTAGAGAACTTGACACTAGGTGTGTCACTAGGTGTGTAATCACTCTTGTCCCATGAATTACTTTTAGGTCCGTGCCTTCCCCTCTAACAGACATGCTTCCCTCAGGACCCTAGTGGTAGGAAGAGTGAATCAGCTACCTTCTATACCCTGTGCATGAGGCCAGGCCTCTTTAGCTGGTGCGGTGGATTCTGTTAATTTAAAAAATAATACTTGCTAAGTAGAACTGTGCCATTCCCAGTGGCTTGTCAATGCTTTGTCAACTCTTGATTGACAGATGAAGCTGCTTTGGTGAAAGGAGCTAGAAAGCTGGGCTTCGTGTTCACAGCCAGGACGCCATACTCCGTCATCATAGAAGCCGTGAGTGACATGCCTGGGCACCTCTCCACCTTGTGTAGCACCGACTTTTTTGAAGGCTATATATTTGAAATAGCATGTCTATTGTCACTGTGGTAGCTAAACGTCTATTTTTTTTTTTCTGTGAGAAACTAGACCTGTTGAAAAACGGAGAATGTTATGTGATTCTATTAGCTTATTCACATTGTTTTTGCATTGCAGTCATTTTTTTCTCACAGGCTGCTTCCCCACAGGTCAGTACAGGGATGTGGAATTGTGTGTAGCAGAGAACTTAGGAGGCCTCCTCTTTGCTCTGGAATCGCTGGGAAAGCAGCTGCAGGGCCCGCCCACTTTGAGGGCGGGGTCTGCAGCTCTGCCTTGCGGCCGCGGGGCCCAGCCGTTCTTGCACTATGAGACCCCATGGTCCGTTGGCTTCAGTCTCCTTGGCTGGGAGAGAAAGGAGTTAGCACTTAGGGTCCTTTGTATATACATGAGTTTTTCTTTTCCCTAGAGTCAAGGGGTTTACTTGTTAAGTGACTTTCTTTTTCTTAGTTTCCTTCTCAAGAAGCCTGAGGGAGAAATTTGGTGATAGGAACACATTCAAATCAAGAATAAGATCAAATAGGGACCATTGAGATGGGCGACGGGGGACACTGATGGCTAGGAGTGGCAAGGCACTGGTGTTTTTCATGATGACTGGTTAGAGGGGCTACGTTTTTCTGCAGTCTGAGTTGTTGAGGGCCTGGAGGTGGTCACTTTCTTCTCTCTCCTCTGCCTTTTCTCCACCCCTCAATTTTGGGAGGACTCATAGATATCGCAGTTTTTTACTTGATGCATCCTTAAATCCCTAAACCCTTTCAATGTATTTTCAGTTCACTTCTAACTTATGTGATAACTTGATATTTTTCCTGACTTGGCAGTAGTCTGTTTTTTCTTTACTTACATGCAAACCTATCAAATATTACACCTAATCCAAAGTGTCCATTTCTTGGCATTTGTGTCTTCTTTTCTTATGGAGTACAGAGTTGAGCTGATATTGATTTTTACTTTATGTCAGTCAACAGAGGGAATTTAGCTCAGGGAAGTGTGCAGTCAGTAAAAGTGGAACAAAATCCTGACCAAATGGAGAGTTTCCTTCATAGAAACTTTTCATAAAAGAAGTCTTCTTCCCCTTCAGTTTGAGGAGACTTTTATTTTAACCTTCATGTAGGGTTTTTCAGTTGTCTGGTGCTGCTGTGTTTCCCTGCATCGCAGCAAGGGGGATTGGGAGGCTGTGTGGCTGGTGAGAGAGACAAGGAGACAGTGGCTGCTTGGGCTCTGCTCACAATGACAGATAAATATGGGGAAGCTACAGAGCCAGCTGACATGTCGTCATGGTGTTAGATGCTGGCGAAAAGTGGACTGGCAGCACGTGGTCATTTTATTATTAACTATTAAGCCCATGTTCCTGGGAGTAAAAAGGACTACCTGATTAGTTATGACTCGTAAGTAATAGTAACTTTAAAAATGCTATTCAACCATTAATATTGAGGTAGCATCAAACCACAAGCTCTAGAGTTGGTTACCAGCTATTTACATGATGTGGCCTTAATGATAATCTTCACCACCAAGTCCATGGGCTGCCTGTGGAGCAGTTGATGTAACAGTGGTGCAAAGAGGGGTTGTCAGCTCCTGGCAGTCATAGCCCTCGTGACAAAGAGGGGGACTAACACAGGGATCTGATAAAATTGGGACAGGCTGAGGAGAAAGGGAATGGGTGGTTGCAGAAAGAGGGGGCATAAAGGCTGATGAAGGCTGGATTAAGTGGATCATTAGTCATATTTTAGGATGCGAAGAGAAGGAGTGGATAGTTGTGGATGGGACTATAACGATTATTTATTGCTATTGTGTGTCAGTCATGCGTGTGGTGATTTGCATGTCACTTTATTTATTCTCTCAAATCTAGGGGGCAGGTGCTATCACCATTCATAAGCAAGTCACACTTAGTGGCAGAAACTGAGTTTAAACTTATATTTGTTGAACTCCAAAGTCCACATTTTTTTTTTTTAACTCTGACGTATTGGGGAAATAGAGACGAGATTTGGTTAAAACATTTGAAAATGGAACACACATAATCTGGAATATTCTAGGAAAAAATTGAGAGAATTGAGTTTCCAGCTTTGAAGAGCCTGAAGAAAGGGGTGTTTGATTAAATGCCCTAAAATCTGATGCAGATTTATAATCTTTTATTTTGAAATCCAACATCCTAGAAGCTTTGAATTTCAAAAGTTTTTTTGCTAAATTTAGGTCATAGGCGACTGGCAGGTAAACTTAACCAGAACTGACATGAGGCTGTTAATGGCCTTTATGAATCTCACTTAGTGTGAATAGTAATACATTTTGCTGAAGAAAATTGATGTGTTATATTACAGGGTGTTGCACTGGGGACGTTACAGTGTGTGCATACACTTCTGTAAAATGTATAAAATTCTGAATTTGGGAGTATAACTGGCCCCAAGGTTTCAGATGGACCTGTGTAGCCTGTACCTTTTATTTTCATGTCTTGCAAGTGGCTTTGTCAGCCAGCTGTTTTGACAGCCAGACTAACTGGAGGACAATGAAAAGCTTCTACCAGAAGGGGGAGCTCTGACCCCACCAGACTGACTTGTAGGAAAACAGTACAAGTTGAAAGGCATTTGCAGGGAGTTAGAAGAAAGAGAGAGGATGAGGGGGTGGGGAAAGAGGGAGGGGGAGAGGTGTGTGTGTAGAGAGGTTTATGATTGGGGAAAACAGTTGCTTTGAGATTTTAATATTTTGCATCTCAGGTAAGAGCCTGTTTTTTCTTTCTTTCTTTTTTTTTTTTTTTTAAATTTTTTATT